CAGTTGTGATAGGATTAATAGGAGATAATGCAAAAAGAGCATTTATGTGCTTATGGTGCCATAGTTATTACTATGATAAATAATGGAACTTTTTAGACATTCCTGCATGCCAGCAGGGTAGATATTTTTGGGCAGCTTGACTTTGAGTCAGCTGATAAAAACACTTTGGAACATATATTTGCCTCATCCTACAGTTCTGTAGTTCTTAGTTTGGATCTGTGATATCATGTTTGTATCTTTTTGACAAGGAATAGTAGACTCCTTTGGAAGCACACTCTGTTAGATGGATGGATCTTTTTTATAAAGGACAGTAAATGTCTTATTTAAGATACCAAACATGTCCACTACACAACCACATAATTAATTTTTTTAGATCAAGTACATTGTGAGCATTTAAGTGGCAGAATACATAGAAGAAAGAGCGTTGGACTAGGAGGATGGGTACACTTAAATTCCTGTCCCAGTAACACAACTTTGAAAAAACCATGTAACCTCTTTTAGCTCCAATTTCTTCAGTAGGAAAATGGGGATGATAATTCTGTCCTGTAATATATTTCATTATTTATGTGAGGATCAAATGAAATCATTAATATACACTTTGAAAATTTTTAAGTATCATGCCAATTGGAAGTATTATTGAGGTGAACCCAGATGAACTAAAACATAAACGTTCAAATTCAGGCAAAATTTATTTAGACAAAATTATTTTTTAAATTATTAGCTTCATTATCCTTTAGGTCAGAGGTGTAACAATTTTCATTTTTAATATTCCTCTTATCATCTGAGACAGTGAAACTTCTGGGTAATAAGCTGCCTGTTCTGTCTTTTGGGTAGACGTATTTGTTGTCTTGGAAGGAATCACTCTTGAATAAAATGTACTCTCTTTTTTGAAAAACAGCAGCAAATAGTAATGGATGGTTGCAGGTCTGTGCATTGGGATGCCTGTGATCTAAGTTGTACTTTTGCTATTTATTAGCTTTATAACTTTGAGCAAATATCTTGACCTTGAAATATTGAGGTCATCTCATTTTCATCATCTCTGAAATAATGGAAGTTACTTTGTTTCCTTCTAGTTTTATAAATGTATGTGAGCATTCCTTTAAACCACACCTTGGTTCTCCCTGGACAATTGAGAACTTCCCCAAACATGAATATAGGATGTGTTATTACAGCTGGTCTGTGTCCTGCAGTGGGGGCCCTTATAGGGAAAGATATATTCCTAAATATTAATATTAACCTCTGCATTCTAAAACTTAATATTCTGTAAGGAAGAAATGCCAAGGAGTGATGTTTATGTTTTGTTTTCCAACTGCATTTGACCTTGATTGTTTTATTATTGTATCAAAATATTTATCTTTAATACAAAGTGTTATTGTTTCTCCAGAAAGACTCACATATTTGCTTTGAAGTTCAGAAGGGCCAAGTTTTTGCTATATTTATTATCAAGTAGCATGCTTAAAACTATTTCAAATAAATGAGATAATTGCAATGGCAGACCCTTTCATTGTTGATTGGGCTGCCATTTATCAGTTAGCAATACACTTGGCGGGTGGCATGCTCACAGAATAACATCTTTTTTTTTTTTTTTTGCTGTACGCGAGCTTCTCACTGTTGTGGCCTCCCCGTTGCGGAGCACAGGCTCCGGACGCGCAGGCTCAGCGGCCATGGCTCATGGGCCCAGCCGCTCCGCGGCATGTGGGATCTTCCCGGACCGGGGCACGAACCCGTGTCCCTTGCATCGGCAGGCGGACTCTCAGCCACTGCGCCACCAGGGAAGCCCCAGAATAACATCTTTTAGACGCACATAGCCTTGATTTGATCTTGAGCAGTGATAAAGATGGTGAGAGGTAGGGTTAAAAATATAACTCAAACACTTTTGCTGGTTAATCATCCCATTTAAACTTCTGTCTTGGTAAGTGAGAAAACCCATATAAAATTAAAATAGATAAATAAATAAATAAATGTAATTCTCTCTTGAAAGATGTTCAGTTGTTCAACTAATAATTATGGTGAGTGTTGATTAATTAGTCCTTTTGCTTTTCTTTTTCTTCATTCTATTGTCAACTTCTGATTAATTCTTCTTTACAGAGTTGCAAGAGAAATAAGAGAAAAATAAATTTAGCTATTTATATTATTTGCTTATCTTCCTAGTCAAAGAACCATTTGTGGTTAAAAATCAGGATTAAAAAAAGTTATTTGTAGATTTTACTTGTAATTTAAAATGTTTTCATTAAAAAGCAATGTTCCATTCACATTCTAAAATGATAAGGCCCAAACTTCATACTCTCCATTCTTTTCTTCAAATATAATTGCAGATTGTAGCTTGAGAGTCTTTTCTCTGTATTTGTCCACATGATGTTTACATATCTACAAGTGTGGCTGGTATATATAGGATTATGCTATAGATGTAGCATCTACAATTTGCACTTTTAAATTTAATACTATATCTTGGAGATCTTCAATGCAAAAGTATCTTCCTTTTTTTGAATAGGCACATATTATTCTACTGTACAAATGTATTATATAGTTTATTTTTTCATTCCCTTCTTGATAGGTATTTAGGTCATTTTTTTTTTTTGGCGGCGTTGGGTCTTCGTTGCTGTGTGCGGGCTTTCTCTAGTTGCAATGAACGGGGACTACTCTTCGTTGCGGTGCACGGGCTTCTCATCTTGGTGGCTTCTCTTGTTGTGGAGCGTGGACTCTAGGTGTGCGGGCTTCAGTAGTTGTGGCTTGCGGACTCTAGAGCGCAGGCTCCGTAGTTGTGACGCATGGGCTTAGCTGCTCCGTGGCATGTGGGATCTTCCCGGACTAGGGCTCGAACCCATGTTCCCTGCATTGGCAGGCGGATTCTTAACCACTGTGCCACCAGGGAAGTCCTCTAATTTTTGGATAATACAAACAATCTTCTTTTTTTTTTTTTTTCTGGTTGCTTTGGGTCTTCGTTGCTGCGCGTGGGCTTTCTCTAGTTGTGGTGAGCAGGGGGCTACTCTTCATTGTGGTGCATGGGCTTCTCATTGCAGTGGCTTCTCTCGTTGCCGAGCACGGGCTCTAGGCGCGCGGGCTTCAGTAGCTGCGGCGCAGGCTCAGTAGTTGTGGTGCACGGGGTTAGTTGCTCTGCGGCATGTGGGATCTTCCCGTACCAGGGATCAAACCCGTGTCCCCTGAATTGCCAGGCGGATTCTTAACCACTGTGCCACCAGGGAAGTCTCCAATCTTTCAATAAACATTTTATACATACCTTTTTCAGCAACATTTGCATATCTGTAGGACCTACTTAGAAGCAGAATTGTTGAATTGAAGAGTATATGTATTTTTTTTTTTTTTTTTTTTTTTTTACGGTACACGGGCCTCTCACTGTTGTGGCCTCTCCCGTTGCGGAGCACAGGCTCCGGACGCGCAGGCTCAGCGGCCATGGCTCACGGGCCTAGTTGCTTCGCGGCATGTGGGATCTTCCCGGACCGGGGCATGAACCCGTGTCCCCTGCATCGGCAGGCGGACTCTCAACCACTGCACCACCAGGGAAGCCCCGAGTATATGTACTTTTAATTTTCAGATACTACCAAATTACCTTCAAATAATACCTATCAGTTTATATTCCTATCACCATTGTACAAGAATACTTGTTTCCACTTACACTCACCAATACTTGATATTATCCGTCTTTTAAATTTTTGCAAATCTATTAGGCAAAAATCCAATTGGTTTTAAAAATTTGTGTTAAACATCTTTTCACATGTTTATTGGCTACTTTAATTTTTCTCTGTAGTGATGTGTAAATGGTATTGCTTTGTTTATATTTTATTTATATTATTTATTTTGTTTTTAACCTTGCACATTCCTGTATTGGTTGGCATATTGTTGTATTACTTTTTCTTTAATTTGCAAAAGTTGTTTATAAATTCTGGATGTAATTTTTTCTGTTATATATGATGGAAATATTTTCCTGCAATCTGTTGCTTGATGTTGAACTTTGTTATTTTTATCATCGTTTGTCAACTGCTTGCAATTTTTTATATACTCAAAGTTACTGATTTTTTCTCTTCTGTATTTTGTGCTTTGCACAAGGTCTTCCTTTTGCCATGGAATTTTATTTTCTTGTTTGTATAAATAACCAGGTGTTTTAGCCTATCAAGTTTCTTTCAAATAGCTGATTGGACTGTACTCCTGCATTTCTCTTTCTCCACAGAGATCACACAAGTTTTCCATTAAAACTGAGAAAGTTTGTTACTCTAGCTTTAAAGATGCTGTGGCTATGACTTTATAGCCATTTCAGCATGATGCTTTTACCAATGTAGTCATAACGAGGTAAACATTAAATTATTGTTTGGTATGTTTGACCTCAAGCATAAGCTTGAATAATTTGTGTAGATCATTAGACAAACGCTGTAGCTACACACCAAACCGCTCTTTGAGTTGTTAAGCAAAGTGCTTATGTATCCATGTGTTTTCCTCAGTTCAACCCTACTGAGGCAGGCATAACTTTAATTTTTATTTATTTAATAAATTTATTTATTTATTTATTTTTGGCTGCATTGGATATTCGCTGCTGCGTGTGGGCTTTTTCTAGTTGCGGCGAGTGGGGGCCCCTCTTCGTTTTGGTGCGGGGGCTTCTCATTGTAGTGGCTTCTCTTGTTGAGGAGCACAGGCTCTAGGTGTGTGGGCTTCAGCAGTTGCAGCACACGGGCTCAGTAGTTATGGCTTGTGGGCTCTGGAGCGCAGACTCAGTAGTTGTGGCACACGTTCTTAGTTACTCCGTGGCATGTGGCATCTTCCCAGACCAGGGCTCGAACCCATGCCCCCTGCATTGGCAGGTGGATTCTTAACCACTGCGCCACGAGGGAAGTCCTGAGGCAGGCATAACCCTAAATAGCATACTAAGTTTAAATGGCATACAATTTACTGGCAGAAAATGATTTATATAATATATCATTGCTTAATATAATATTTTAGGTGGAGAAATGAAAGATTTGTTCATGTAAACTTTTTTTGTTTTTCTTCAGTTTTGTCGAAGCAACATGCTTCACAAGTCCTGGTTAGGAAAAGGCGTGCAAATTCTTTGATGGAAGAAGCAAAAAAGGGTAACCTTGAAAGAGAATGCATTGAAGAACTGTGCAATAAAGAAGAAGCCAGGGAGGTCTTTGAAAATGACCCTGAAACGGTAAGAATTCATGAAAAGTGGTAAGTTAGCATACCTAGACATACAGTTACAGACGGAATGTTTGCAGCTTGAGTCTGTGTTCCCTTGTGTTTCTTTTTAAAGTTAATGATTGTGTATATCACCTTCCACATGTACCCACTGAAGTGTTTCAGGAGGAATTACCTTCAAAGGAAAGTGGGCTTATTAGGGAGACACTATGCCAAAACCAATGTGCTCTGACCAAACTATAATTCAACTGTACCTAATTATCACAAATAGTATGAACCTCATGGTTTGTAACTACTTTCTGCCAACCAGGATTTTGTAGTGTTGGGTGAGGGGAAGGCACCTCAAGTGTGTATGTGTGTGTGTGTGTGTGTGTGTGACTACATTGTTATCACTATGCTTCATTAATTCTCTCCATTGGCATTTTTAACCAAACTTTAGAAAACAGAGCCTCTAATTCAGAGCTTGGTACATAATAGTTACTCAGTAAATGCTTAATAAAGGATTCATTACAGTACTGTGTTCCCTGAGAATACTTTTAATTTATTCCATAAACTGTTGGGAAGTTTCCTCAGCCCACTGTATATCATCAATAGTCCCTGCGGTTAGAATTTATACCTTTAGTGTATAAATTTCTCCAATTTAGTCTAGAATAAAATGATCACAAAGACCCCTAAATATCATACAGAAATATGGGGCCCCTACATCTGATCTTTAGTCCCCTAATTTTCCTAGAGAAGGGGGTTCTTTAACATGTTCTGTGGGTAGCAGGAATATAAATAGTGCCTCTATGAATTAGGGTGAAGAATTCAAGTTTGATAACCTTCAGGGTTACCTCAGATTTTTTTCCCTGAGATGAACTGTATAACCAAAAGGAAATGAGGGAGAAAACATACGCAAAGTACCTCCTTTACCCCTGCCTTAGTTCCTGGAACCATGAGACTAGATGAGCCATAACGAGCAGGAACCACTTATCTATAGTTAGAGAACTTGTCCAAGACAGTAATAACTTGTGTTTTCTGGGATTGCCCTTTAATCCTCTTACCTCCACCTACTCTAATAGGTTCAAAGGGAATTTTTCCCAGGGTACCCGAAGATTCATTTTTAACACTCTCCAAGATTGAATCAAAATGTTTGTCTTAGTTTTGTTGCCTGTTGTGGAAAAGCAATTAAGACAAAAATATTTTATTTCACACAATATAACAGTGTACTCATATTGTGTAGGAAACAGATAAACACACACACACATATACACAAATTTCTTTTTATTATGGAAATGGTAAATATATCCCAAAGTAGGGAGAAGAATATAATAAACCCCAATATACCTACTTTCCCTTTCAATGATTATCAACAATCTGCCATTCTTGTTCTGCCTATTCTCTACCCCACCCACTCTAATTTTTGTTTTGTTTTGCTGGAACATTTTAAGGCAAGCCTGCATGCTCAAGATTTTATTTGATTATATTACCCATAAATACTTGAGCATGTATATCTAACACTGTAAATATGTTCTCATAGCTTAGCCTCTGAGTAGCAAATGGGGAGTGAGACAGAAACCATATGGAGGGAAGGGAAAAGGGTAGAGAAACTCATTTATGTGCTTCCTCTCCTCCACTCATTCTGACAGTTGTGTTATTGACAGAAGAGAAAGAGATGATGGAGAGAGTAAGGAAGAAATGGGAGACATGAAAGAAGAAAAAAACCCATTTGTTATTGCTTCTCGCTTTCTATCCTGCTCCAGACACTCCCTGCCCACATCCCTCATACCCTAGTCCACACTCCCAGTCACCACCTTATTGCTTGTCTCCCCACTGTCCCTAATATAGTCCTTTCACCATTACATTATCTCCTTTTGAACCAATTCATCATTGTTTATATCCTGGCTTTTGTTCTGTAGATGACAACACTGATGTCTGAATTGCTTAGTGGGAGATCTCATCTTATAAACTAGTAGCTAAGTGTTGTGTAGGTTTATATGTGAGAGGAGGAAGGAATGAGGACTTTAATTGTGTCCTGGATGAAAGTTATGTTCTGTACTTGAGGTTGTTTTTGTGTAGAAACACTGGTTTCTCATGAGGAGTTCTTATGTTATTAATGCTGCATATTGGATGTATTATGGCTTAAGAAGGCTTTTGCGAACTAGCCTGGGAACCTTACCATCAGAAATCATTTTTAACATTTTTCTCCTTTTGCTGAAGTGCTTTCCTTAGTCCAAATTACTGATTTACAGAAAAATTCTTGGTACATAACCAATTTATAAGTAAGGTATTACATGTACATAAGATGCTAAAAGGTAAATGTCCACTTTAATTCAATTCAAATTATGTTACTGTTATTCAGCAATGAATCTGGTGTGTGTACTGAGCATGATGTGAGATGTATCAAATGGGTATCTAACCATCTTGGAAAAATTAAAAGATTTACGTAAAGGGGGCATATATAGTCACATTTAACATCTTCAGTGGGGCCTGTTTTCAGTTTAGAAACCTTTGAAACATGATTTAATTGATCAGTATTGCTTTAAGCCTAAGCATCTTATGGCTTAATGTTATTAGTCATCTACTCCTGGTATATATGTTACTATAGAAAAAATGCTATAATGTGGAAATGACAGTTATATGTAATTTATTGCATCTTTAATATAAAAACACATTTTAAAATCGTTTTAACTTTCTATGAAATTTAGATTTGCTAAGATATATTTTTTCTTTTCTTTTTTTTTCTAGGAATATTTTTATCCAAAATATTTAGGTAAGTTCAAAGGACCTCAATCATATAATCTTAGAAATGGAAGAAAACTTAAATATGATGAAGTCCAATCCTCCACTCATATATATTCCATCCAGTACAATTTCATTAGCCTTGGGAGTAAGATCTCTCTCATTCTATGTGCAAATTTTCTGTCCTTTTATTTAAAGTCACGTAGATGAATTTGGAATGGTTCTTTTAATTACTATGTGACATTTTGTCTTTTAGTCTTTTTCATTTTTTTGTCTTTCTCATAAAGAGTCACTGAGCTGATGCAAAGTTATATTTAGGTAACAGAATATTCTCTATAAGTACATGAATTTTCATGGGTTATCTTCTCTTTTTTTTAACACCTTTATTGGAGTATAATTGCTTTACAATGGTGTGTTAGTTTCTGCTTTACAACAAAATGAATCAGTTATATATATACATATGTTCTTCATGGGTTATCTTTTAATGAAAGGAAAGATCTCTACACTCTCCAGAGCTTGTGACATAATTATCATTTAAATATTGATAGAAATTATTAACGACTTCCCACTTTGCAGCACCATTTCCTCATTTCCTACAATATCCCATCCATGTTTTGCCTTTGGATACAAAAGCAAAAGGAGTGAGGTAGCATTTCCATATCTAAAGAGATTAGATGATTTCAACTAAATGTCAATTAAAAGGCTACAGTTTGTTTTAAATAAATATAAAAATATTTTATTAATATTTTTTGGAGACTTGTCAGCATTTCCAAAGAATGGAAGTGGAGTAGCATTTGTACACGTCTTTCTGATGAGATTCTCTATAGGTCCAGCCCACAGAGGTTTGCTCTCCCTCTTCCTTTGAGCTCAGAATAGTCCCCATCTGTGCATCTTTCTACCCCACTCTCATGCCAGCCAATGTGAGACTCCAAGGCCTGCAAAACTGAAAAGTAAATCTTCCTTGAAAAAAAAAAAAGTAGGAATGTACTCTGATATACAGTAATAACTATGCAGTTTAGTGTTAATATAATTTAGCAAATAACTATTTCTATTAAACTCTCATTTCTCTTGAAATTTTAGGGTTTAATTATAGTTTAGGGTATTACACTTTGCTTTTGTTTTACTTCTGAATACCCATGCAGAGATCCCAGAGACCATCTGTAGATAGGGGACTATATATACCTTTCCCCCTTTCCTAGGGAGCCTTACATTGAATTGATGGTATGTACTTACATTTACCCTTCAGGACAATTAACAAGATAAGAGCCCAACATCATTGGGAGAAGACCCTTTCTGAACCAAGTGCTCTTTTTCATAGTTCCTAAAGTGGTTACTCTTCCCTTTTTTGAGTGTCCACGATGGTGTGAATCTTATTTTTGTGGCAAATCCAGAGTCAAGGAGACCCAGCTATAATACACTGCCTCTCATTTCACCCTCTCATCAACTGCAGGACATCGGTTCAATGGTATCTCTCTTTAGAACTCCATAGCATGACCCTTTTCTGTTCTTGGGCTGCTGGGTGTTTTCCAGTTGACTTATTATAATTTTTTTTTATTAATTCCAATCGAACATTTATCTCCCACAAGATCTTAAAATTATTTAACTTCTATGAGTTATAGTTTTCCAATTTGTCAAATGGATAGTAACAATTTACCTAATAAGTTTCTAGCAAGAAACAAAATGAGGTAATGTTTTCAAAGCACTTAGTAAAATATGTCATGCTAGTTCTCTTCATTTTTTTCCCCTAACTTCTCCTCTAGTCACATTTTCTTTTCTTTCCTTACCTTCCCTTTTCTAGCTGCTAATAACAGACTTAAGCAGTTTCATTCAAATTTGGAAAGAGGATACTATAAAAATTATGTAGTGATATTATTTATGACTTTAGATATGAAGATTCAACAAGATTTTCTAAAAACTTTAGCTGTCATATCTGAGATATACATCCATGAAAAATATTTCTTCTTTGTAAAGTTATGCTTTGACTCCTTACTTTCTAAAGCAAAAATTAAAGGTTTATAGTCTTAAAGTCAAGAAAAGATAGACTATCAAGACTATTTCATTCTCTCCATTTTAGGTAGGAATTTAAATATTTTGTAATTAAAATAGACAGTATTTAGCTGTTAAAATTATAAGCTTACATTGAAATATAGTATTCTTAGGTCCATGTAATGAGGCTGTGTTTCTGCAGGCATCAATACTCTGGAAGATAATGTACCTTTGATCACAGAGTACATTTGGATAAACATAAATAACATTTTAATACAACATTATGTGTTTTGGAAAAGTTAGATAAAATCTTTTTCTTTTTTTCCTTCCATTCCTCTCAACTGCCTCTGTTTGTACCCAACTTTCTCTTTTATTTGCCTATCTTATTTGGAAGCATGATAGAAAAGCCAAGTCCTAAAAAAAAAAAAAATAATAATAATATGATGTGGACTCTAGTCTCAGACATAAAAATTTCTACGGTGTCGGTTTAGGAAACTTATTTAACTTTTGAGGTTCTGTATTTAAGTTACACTATAACTATATTTTCTAACTTCAGAGCTGCTGGGAATATCAAATAAGTATATGTATGTAGATAGATATTTTTATGTCAAACTTTCTTCAGATGTAAAGTATTATTATTAATTGACTTATATAGTGAAACAAAAAATATACTTTTAAAAATATTTATTTTATTTATTCATTTTTGGTTGTGTTGGGTCTTCATCACTGCACACGGGCTTTCTCTAGTTGCAGTGAGCGGGGGCTACTCTTCATTGCGGTGCGCGGGCTTCTCATTGCGGTGGCTTCTCTTGTTGCAGAGCATGGGCTCTAGGCACATGGGCTTCAGTAGTTGTGGCATGCAGACTCAGTAGTTGTGGCTCGCTGGCTCTAGAGCGCAGGCTCAGTAGTTGTGGCACACGAGCTTAGTTGCTCCACGGCATGTGGGATCTTCCCAGACTAGGGATCAAACCTGGGTCCCCTGCATTGGCAGTCAGATTCTTAACCACTGTGCCACCAGGGAAGCCCCCAAATATACTTTTTATTATGATATATTTTTTGATTCACATTTTATATTTTGGTCTTTAGTTACAAGCATATGTGATGAATTCCACTGTTGAAAACACAAAAGAAATACTCTAAGTTAAGTCTTTCTGTCTTTTGATGTGTATATCCTGTAGGCCAGTGGTCCTAATTGGGGGGTGGGGGGAACCTTTATAATTTTGTCTCTGATAAACCCAACAGTAATTTTACTAATTACCACAGCTCATGCTGGGAGCTCCTTACAGTGAGATAAGATCACCCAAGAAATTAGACCACTAATACTAACCCATACTTTTTGGCAGTGTTTGGATTTAGAATTGTAAGTGTTCAGAAATCACATTAGTCTATCCATATACTGCACTGAAAACATGGAATTTGGGCAGAAATACTCTGCATTTCATTATATAAAGATAAGTTTTTAAGTTGTGTTCTTTTCCTTAGAAAATGGAATAAACTCTGCCATCTATGTAGGGCTTTAAAATATCACCCACTAGAATGGATGATTAAATTAATGGGAGAAAAACTTCTTGGAAAGAATGTTAAATTCTGAGCCAAAATGTAAACATCAGAAATAGTTTTTAGTTTCTAGTTCTTGCCAAATTGGTGGATTAGCTCAGACTGCTGACTTCTCTTAAAATCATCTCAAGAGAAACAATAGCATTCCAGGCACTAATAATAACAAAATAAAATGAAAACAACAAGAAATGTGAGAAACCCATGGATAGACTGAAGGCTGTTTGACCTAGTATGGGGACCTGGGGTTCTGACTGCTGAGGCAGCAGTAAGAGGACAGATTGGATAGTTAAAAAAGAACCTAAGCTTTCAAATCAAGCAAATTTTTAAAAGTACAACAGAGCAAGCCCTGAGTAACAAAAAATAAGGAAATAACACAAGTAGAGATAGAAATAAGTTAAATGGAAAACATAAGAGAAGATTAACACAAGAAAATCTCATTCTTTGAGAAGGTAAAGTAAGGAAAGTAAGTTAGACTGACCTCTGGCAAGAATAATCAAGGAGAAAGAAAAAAGGGAAAGAAGAAATGCCAGAACAAAAAGTGTAGGACAAAAGGGGGAAATACTATAAACCCAGCATAGATTGGATTTATAATCATAAAATAAAGATTATAAAATAAAATATAATCATAAAAAGTTACAAAATGTGATCATATAATAATATGGATATAGGAACTGTTGTAGTCTAGAACCAAGATTTCTTTCTAGGATGTTCTGTCCTGACCACTGGAACCTCTCCTGAAAGTGCCTCTTTCTTAGGCTTTCCTCCCTGATGGCCCAAGTTTCTATTTCTAATTCCGTTTCTTAGAAGAGCTTCTGCTTCAGGCTACAAAAGCTATGGCAACCTCTCTCCAACTCTCACCTTCCTACTCATTCTCTCCAACTTCCTCCATTCCTGTTGGGCAGCAAGAAAGAGAAGTGGGAAGGTAAGGGATCGGGACTGCACTGCTTTGGAGTAGCCATGCAACTTGCTCTTCTCACTGTAATTCTAAATGCAGGTTTCCAAAAAAACATTATCACATATATTAGTATGGACTCATATATAAGGTGCTTTATGGGTTAAGCCTACTTTGTAATCTTGCCTGGGGTCCTAATCACCATATGAAGTCATTTCAGCTGAATCTCTAGCTTAAGGGTTTCAAATTTTAGCTGTCAGATTTGTCCAGAAGTGCAAAATGATGCTTTCTTACAAATGAGAATCCTAATGGAATGTTCACACTAGAATAAGATAATTCTGGCAGTGGGTGATTCAAGAGGAGGGACAAATGGATTCAGGGAAAGAATACTCAAGACTTAAGATTGCCTAGGTCTCACTGGGCCTCCAGAAAGACCACAATGATGTAAAGTATTGTTTCTATGGGAAAATATTATAACCTACTTTGGTAGGCTAAATAATGACCCCCTAAATATGTTCATGTCCTGTCCTCAGAACCTCTAATATTACCTTAAATGTTGTCTTTGAAGATTAAGTTAAGGATCTTGAGATGGAGACATTATTCTGTATTATCTGGGTGGTTTCAATGTAGTCACAAATGTTCTTAAACAAGAGAGACAGGAGGTCAGAGTTGGTAGTAGTTCATATGACAATGAAGCAAGAGTTGAGAGTGATATGAGGATGGGGCCATGAGCCCAGGAATGCAGGTGGCTTGTAGAAGCTGAAAAAACTGAGGAAATAGATTCTCCTTTGGAGTTCTAGAAGGAATGCAGCCCTAACAACACCTTAATTTTAGACCTCTGATCCCTGTAACTGTAAGATAATAAATCTGTGTTATTTTAGGCCACTGAGATTGTGTTTGTCACGAAAGCAATCGGAAAGGAATATACCCACTGACTTCAAATGAGCCTTTAAACCCCTCTGTGATAAATTGCATTCTCCAAAGGTGGCTGCAAAAATATCTCCCATCTCACATACTCTTCTGCAATGTCATCTTGCCACTTCCCCAACACTATGTGGAATCTATTCTTTTCTCCCTCCTCCAAATCAGGGTGGACCCGGAGACTGCTTTGATCAGTAGACTATGGTGCAAGTGATACAGTGCCTCTTAAATGGCCTGGCAGCTTCCGCCTTCTTCCTCTTGCAAGCTAGGTACCATGAAAACAGTGCCACTTTAGGACTGCATACTCAGGGAAACTCAACCACATGGAGAAGCCCTGAAGCATGGCATACCATGTGGAGATAAAGATGCTAAGGAACCTGAGCTGTCAGACATATGAGTGAAAAGCCATCCAGGAGGTGGATCTTCCAGACCCAGCCACCCTGGCTGATCCCATGTGCAGCAGAGACAAACAGCTTAACCAAACCCTTTCTAAATATTTGATCCACGCATCATGAGCAAAATAGAATGATTATTTTAAGCCACTAATTTCGGGAGTTGTTTGTTACCCAGCAAAAGTTAACCAAAACACCACCTTTTTAGTGAGTTGGTGACTATCTGTCCAATGAACTGATACATATAATGTCTTCAGTGGCTATTAAGAAATGTTATGTTGTTGGCACTAAATGACCCCTGGTTAAAGTCTGTACATAATTTATCTCTATTATTTCAGCTGTTATTTCTGCCAGATTGCTATATCTAATTTCACAGAGTTCTAGTAAGAAATAAAATGAATAAAGTAAACCTGCTTTGTAATACTGGGGCATTATACAAATATTATTTTGTTAGTCTCTATGCAACATTGGAAGAATTGGAAGTTGCCTATGGCAACCAGAAACACTGACTTATTCTACTGACTTAATTATGGACAATTTCTAAATTAGGCTCTGGTCTATAGATTTGAGGGTGACTTTAGGTCTCTGCTACAGAATTAAGAACATAGATTTATGTGGCAATAAATTTCCCTGCTAATTCAAAATATTTTTCACTTCTGGCTTTAAGGTTCTTTTCCAAAGAGAAGCCTCTATAAATCTATTTTTCATGATTCTGTGTTTATTGCAATCTTGCTTGTAGATTTTTAATTTTTCAAAAAGGTGGATGGAAACATTTAGGATTGACATTTTGAATGCTGAATCATGTAAATCTACAGAAGCATACCACTTCGGATAATTTCTACCATGATTTCAGATCAAGTAAGTGTGTCTGCTCTAAGATTACACTTGTTTGCATTTACAGGTTGTCTTGGCTCCTTCAGAGCTGGATTATTCACTGCTGCTCGTCTGTCAACTAATGCTTACCCTGACCTAAGGAGCTGTGTCAATGGTAAACACCTCTACCATCAGTTTAAAAAACAAAACAAAACAAAAACCTGCAAGTAAAGTACCCCCATATAAATATAACTAATGTTTAAAAATCAACAAATGAGCCCTTGAAGGGCTGCAAGGCCCAGCAAGGAGGTATTCTCAAAATGCATTTGAAGGAATGTTTTTAATTTTTTTTAATTTTTATTTTTTTGGCCATGCCACATGACTCTAACACTAGATCAAATTGGCCAAATAATTATTTCTTTCAGTATTTATTTATTTGTTTATTATTTATTTAGTTTAAACTTTTTATTGAAGTATCATACATATATGTATGTATGTGTACAGCAATGTACATGAAAGATGAATTTTTTTCTTTTTTTTTTTTTTTGACCACATCGTGTGGCTTGTGGGATCTTAGTTTCCCCACTAGGGATTGAACCTGGGCCACAGCAGTGAAAGCGCTGAGTCCTAACCACTGGACCGCCAAGGAACTCCCTGAAGGAATGTGTTTTAGATGTAAATGCTGCTGTTTTACTTAAAATGAATTTTCCACCTAATGTTTAAATTGAAGTGTTCCTTGTTTGCCAAGCTTTAGGTCATTGACTTCAGAATTTTATTCCCAAGAGCTTTAATTTGGCTGTTGTTGCATAATCATGTACTTATGACCAAATGTTAGAGTTGATTAATAGGTCAAAGTGGAACCACGTTTATTTTTCTGACTTTTGGCATCAACAATATAAATGTGGAAAATCTTGTGATATCAAATTAGCCTTTTCCCCCTGAAGTTCACATAAGGTTTAGTGATAATTCTCATAGATTATTTGTCTCTAGTTTATCAATTTCCTGACTTACAGTCAGAGAGAAAAAGGTGAAATGGCAACATGTAAATTGGGATGTTTGTCTAGTGAATATTTTAAATGTAGCATTGGCATTATTGAGATATTCATTCATGTGCATTTTCTATAATTCAAAGTTAGTTGTAACTACGCAAGTAAAACAGTTTGCCTAAACGTGTATATTTAATTCATACTTTATTTTTTTAATTTACCAAAGGACAGAAAAATAATTTGATAATTTCCTGATTAACCTGTTTTCTGTCATTTTAACTAATACCTAATTTTCAAAAATTTTGATTTTATGAGAACTTTTTTGAAAAGTTCAGTAATTAGGTTTTAATTAGATTAAAAAATTTTTTTGTTTGCAAGTAACAGTTTGCTTTGCTAACATAAGCAAAGGAGAATGTAAAGGAAGGATGGAAGGAACTTGCAGATGAGCTAGGAAGGCTGGAGAAACAGGTGTGGAATCATGCAGGAGCCAGGGACCGTTGCAGTGTCTAGTGAGGTGAGAGTGACCACAAATAAGTCAAGACACGAATGGGCATATCATTTAAGATAGTGATAAAGTGCTGTGACATTTTATGAAGAAAATGTCCCTCCTTAGGAATCACAGTATTCTGCTACCTGTTGCCCAATGTCTGAAAACCATTTGACTAGAATTCTATTTATTTAAAGCAGGAGAATAAATCTGGTCCCTGTTATTCTATCTTAGCCCAATTTGGAAGTTCCAACTTTTTCTATTGATACTACACTATTTCTATTGATATTGAGTAGTTTTACTGTCTGCCTACCTCATGGAATTGTTTTAAGGATCAAATAAGGTAATATATGAAAAAAATATTAAATTACAGTTATAAAGTACTGTATATATATGCAAATATAAAAGTAGCTCCCGTTTACAAAATATAAAGATTTGTCTAATGGATCCACTTTTCTTAATGAAAAAGTATTTGAAGGAATGAGTTGTAATTTTTTTCCATTGACCATAGGCTTTGTGCACAGGATTCTATTAAAGGGTGTATAATTCTATTTTACCATGGCATGTGGTAAAAATTAAATAGATATATATTTCCTTCAGCCATTTCAGACCAGTGTAATCCCCTGCCATGCAATGAAGATGGATATATGACCTGCAAAGATGGCCAAGCTACATTCACTTGCATTTGTAAATCAGGTTGGCAAGGAGAGAAGTGTGAATTTGGTATGTACAATAAACCCAGCTGGCTCATCTGGATTGGCCTCCTGAAAAGTTCTCTGAAGGTTTTATTACTTTAAAAGTAATTTATTTCCTCCTTTTTAGATATAAATGAATGCAAACATCCTTCAAATGTAAATGGAGGTTGTAGCCAGATTTGTGATAATACACCTGGAAGTTACCACTGTTCCTGTAAAAGTGGTTTTGTTATGCTTTCAAATAAAAAGGACTGCAAAGGTAAGAGTAAGAAGGTAGACTAAAAAGGTATTTACTATGTGAGAGCAAAATTCACTTAGAGGAATTTCCCCAGGAAATTCTTGGAAAACTCTTAGATGGTAAGTGCTTGTAATAAGTATACATTATTATCTACCTTGAAACCTTGTGATACAAAGGGACTGCCTTTGGTTTATTGTTTATAGAGTATTTTTTTACTCACAGAGTATTTTGTTGTCTTCTTATTGTGTGTGCATGTGTGTACATGCACGTGTTTTAGTGAAGAATTTCATTATATGGTGATAAAATGAAGTTTTGGTGCAAGTCCTTGCATACTATGGTCTTTGCGAAATCGTCGTTTATCCTTTTTCTTCCAGACACTATAATATTATATCCTTTATTCCAATAAGATAAACGGTTTACAAATAAATCACCACAATCCTTAATAACTTATTTCACTGTATTTTATATTTTCTTGTCAGAAATACCTTTCTAATTTCCAATGTAAACCCTTCATCTTGCACCTCATTTCCTGTTGTGGTTTTGAAAAAGATGAAGCTCTGGTTTTCCTTCTCTTTATACATCTAAGATCACATCACTGGTCATAACTTTTTTTCTTTTTTAATTTCAGACTTAAATAATTCCAGTCAGTTAGTTTAGCTGTTTAAGTCATTTTACTAGTGTATTTCTTTTTTTTTTTAATTATGCTTCTCTTTCCCCCAAATTTTACCTTTCTTTTTTCTGCACAATGTCTTTTCCATTAGACTGCTTTAACTACCTTTACTAAATCTTCAAATATAAGTGCTAGGTACATGGGTGACTAAAAATGAAATTCTCCAGCCTGGAGTTAAATTTTGCCTTTAGAAAATGGGAGCAAGTTATTCTTTCTTCTCTCCTTTCCTCCTTCCCTTCCTTTCTTCCTTCTTTCCTTCCTTCTCTTCCTTCTTCCCTCCCTCCCTCTCTTCCTCCTTCTCCCCCCTCTCTTTTTCTTTCTCCCACCACTTCTCTTTTTGTGATGAAGTAAAAAATTTAGTAAATTAAAATGTAAAATTTTCTTTTTCAACTCTATTCATATCTGCTTTGGTAAATCCTTAAATTGAATTCATATTCAAGGAGTGGTCTGTCCCTCACTGTATTGTAGTGTTTAGTCTAGCATAGTTTACTATAATATCATTTAAAGTGCAGTTGAGTGACTCTAAGGTGAACTGTATAAGCTAACGATTTATTATAAGCAGTTATCCAATTTCAGATTATATATGTTTCTTGTTTGCCTATTTGAAGGTGTTTGAGGTTAGAGATTTAGAATATCAATATCATTAAAACAACAGTTATAGAAAACCATTATAATGAAGGGGTACCATATGCATTCCACAAGCAAATAATACCCATTAAAACTTCTACATCTAAATACTTGGATAGTCTATACTGCTAAAGAATTTATGATTTATATTTTTAATTAATAGGAATTTAATCCTTATCCATTGAGTTAATACACCTTAACAAAAAGTTCTCTTATAAATGAGTGTCTCTGATGATCAGAACATATGTTCTTGTATTCTTCATTTACATAATCTTTTATCCATGATTCCTAAGTAGTAAAGTACAGACCTAGAAGAAGAATATGTATACAACTGTTACAGTAGGGCCTTTGCTAAAATGTGGATATGGCTGGGATTAAGCTGCCAGTAAATGTGCAAAAATGCAAGAATAAAAGTTTTCATCAGACATTAGATGTCAGTGTAGAGTCATAAAATGTACGTGCTATAACCAACACTCATATGATTTAAATGAGTCCTTGTAATATGCCTCAAACCAAATAAATTTAGTCATATGTTTTTACTTTCTGTTGAAAATATGGATTTTATAGCTCTTTTTAGAAAAGTAAGTATTTTTTGAAGTAATTGTAGATTCACATGCAGTTGTAAGAAATAATAAAGAGATCCCATGTACCCTTTTCCCAATTTCTCCCGATAGTAAAATCTTACAAAACCTTATAACACCCAGGATATTGTCACCAATACAATCAACATACAGAAAAATTCCCTTACCACAAGGGATTGATTCATTTATTTTTGTGCAGGTCATTTTAAATAGAGAAATGTCTGAAAATTTGGCCATTAGTCTGTGGAAAAATTAAACTATCAATATCAACTTTTTAGAGTAGAAAATATATTTTTCATCCTGAGCTCACCTTTCCTCAGAGAGTACAAATGAAAAGAGTTCACTAGTAATTACACCTCTATTGAACTATTTCTGTCACTTGTTTTGTTTTTCTCACAGGTGCTTATTCAGTAGCTAGTTGCAATCAATACTTCGTCTCCTACTCTACTATGTAATATAATAAACGCATCTGAAATTTCTGGAATAGTAATTTAACACTAAAATTTACGCTGAATTAGCTGCACTTTATAAGTACTTTAACACCTTACCCAATCCCATTTTAAATTTGAATCACTCTTGAATACTTTAAGCCCCAATAGTAGTATGCAGATTTAGCTATTGTCCATTTCCAAAGCAAAGGTGTAAGACTGATGAGCCATTCATTTTTACTTTTTATATTTGTGATAATACAGAGTAAGTATGCTGTTAAGACCATATTTCAGAAACATGTATTTAAGAATACATATTAAGAATATGATGAGTCTCTTCTTCCATTTATTTTCATACTGTATCCTGGTAGATAAGAAAAAAAAAGCGCTTTTTTTTCTTTTACGTGACTACAAAGGAAATAGCAACCATCAATCAAATTCCCTATGTATTTGTATAAAGAAATCATATTTAGTGAACTAATATATGATGATAGATTTAATATTTTGTTGTTCCCAGGCCACTTTGTTGTCTCATTAGATATATTAAACTAGATCCAGGAAACACAAATCAAGGGGTCTTTGCTAGTATCTTCTGGTATGGGAAAAATGTTTTTTAATATACTGGTTTCATTTATAGATGTGGATGAATGCTCTGTGAAGCCAAGCATTTGTGGCACAGCTGTGTGCAAGAACATCCCAGGAGGCTTTGAATGTGAATGCACTGAAGGCTACAGATACAATCCCATATCAAAGTCTTGTGAAGGTAAAGTTCTGGTGGTGTCATTGGTGGTGAAGAGGGTGTTTGCACCCTGTTTTGATATGAGAAGCATTGGTTCTTTAGTAGTATGCAATCTGATTGGCCCTCTAAGCTGTATATGAATTGGAGACCTCCCATATATGACAGAAGCAAAAGAACACATTTTTAAAATTATTTATTTATTTATTTATTTATTTACTTTTGGCTGCGTTGGGTCTTCGTTGCTGTGCACGGGCTTTCTCTAGTTGCAGCGAATTGGGGCTACTCCTCATTGCGGTGTGTGGGCTTCTCATTGCAGTGGCTTCTCTTGTTGCGGAGCACGGGCTCTAGGCGCCCGGGCTTCAGTAGTTGTGGCTCATGGGCTCTAGAGCACAGGCTCAGTACTTGTGGTGCACGGGCTTAGTTGCTCCGGCTTGTGGGATCTTCCCGGACCAGGGACTGAACCCGTGTCCCCTACACTGGCAGGCGGATTCTTAACCACTGTGCCACCAGGGAAAAAACACATTTTATAATATTCAAAGATAAAAAGAACTTCTAGCTCGAAGGAAGAACACACGCGCAAAAAGAAAGGCAAATTTAAAAATCATGTGGGTGTTACAACAAGGGTGGTTAGAAACCTTCGGTTTTATACCAACCTTTTCAATGATTTTCTGTGCATATATCAGTGTGCCTTTTATTGTAAAATAGTAAATGACCTAGTTCTATTATAATTAAATACATGTAAAAGAAAATCTCTTCATAACCAAATGATAACCAAGCTCTAAAACCTTGAGAAGTACTGATTAGTAATGTTAGTGCCTGTGGTTTTGGGAGAGCCCCTTGGAGCTTATGATTACTTCATTTGGCTCCAGTGGTGCTGCCATGTGTGCCTCAGGTAGCTTAGATGTGTTAGAGCAGGGGTCCCCAACGGCCGGGCCTACACCAGTCCACGACCTGTTAGGAACAGGCCACAGAGCAGGAGGTGAGGGGCGGGTGAGCAAGCGAAGCTCCATCTGCCGCTCCCCATGTCCCCCCATCACTCACATTACCTCCTGAACCATCCCCCCACCGTCCGTGGAAATATTGTCTTCCACGAAACCAGTCCCTGGTGCCAAAAAGGTTGGGGACCACTGTGTTAGAGAGATTTTTTAAAAAAGCATGGATATATATAAATTATCTCCTTTGAATTTTTTAAAATTTCAAAATGAATTTAATACCATGACTAAAACTAATCAAATCAATAATTTTTCTATTGTGGCAAAATATATATATAAGATGTGCCCTTTAACCATTTTTAAGTGTACAATTCAGGGGCATTAATTACATTCACACAGTTATGCAGCCATTACCATATCTGTTCCAAAACTTTTCCAAACAGAACTCTGTAACTGTTAAGCAATAAATTCCCCCTCCTCCCTTTCCCAGCCCCTGATAACCTCCAACTTACTTCTGCCTCTATGAGTTTGCCTAAATTGATGATAATCTTAGAATAGTTTTTTTTCAACTATTTGTACTCCTTTTGAGATTTTGATGTGTTATATCCTTATGCACTCACTGAAAAATATCCCCCCAACCCACCATTTCTACTCTCCCACCACTCCAGGTGGAAATTACTGTAGTAAGCCCTAAGCATTTGCAGACTTATTATTAGCCAACTTCATCATCAATATTGTAGTTATATTCAACGAATGACAGATTTTTTTTAAAAGATATAAATGTGAAAATGTAAATATATTTATATATAAATATATATTACTTTATTACTCTAGTTATACTATTCAATTTTTATGGTACTGAGGGTTCACTAATTTGGGGGGGTCTATTTTAAGACATTTTAAGGGAGAACTTATATGCTATAATAGTATTTGAGTTTGGGAATTTTCAAAGATCACAGGGTGTATTCATCAAAAAGGTCAAGGATGGTAGGTAGCTCTGAAGTGTACTTTAGCTGAAGTATCTTATTACAGCTTTTCAAGAATGATTTTCTTAAAATATGGAGTAGGAACAGGGACCATATAGAAGATTTCACAGTATGGGAGGTAATAGCACAGTGAGGTTTTTTGTTTTTTTTACATAAGAAATAAATATATGTCCTTAAATTTATTGTCGCCAGTAATCGTTGCATTATGGAAAGTGAAATTTTCTTGATATGATCATTTAATCTCCAATTACATTAACCTTCAATTAAAAGGGATCTTTTCTTCCTTTCCCTTCCCTATCTTCCTGTCCTCCCCTCCCTCCTCCTCCCTTCCTCTCCCCTTCCCTTCCCTTCCTTTTCTTTTCTTCAAAGCAAAGAGTTAAGAAGTAGTGTCAATGGAATTCATGTGATCAGATGTGACAGTTACATGGAGACTCTCAGTCTTTTTTTCTTCAAAATCATAAAATTAGTATAATTGTTATATCTTTATTAATTATTAATTACTGAAAGTTATTCATTAAATTTGTTGGTCAGGTATATAAATAAATAGAAATTACACTTGTAACTCACTTAAATTTCCATGGCAAGTGATTTGATGTCAAAGGAATGTGATTTGATGTCAAAGGAATTTCTTTCACAAAGGATTTATTATCATTGATTATCTCATACTAAAATCAACATAGTCCTTCTTCTGTGGGATTGAACATTTAGGAGATATTAAAATTTATGTTCTCTTTTACCCCAGATGTGGATGAATGCTCTGAGAACATGTGTGCTCAACTTTGTGTCAATCACCCTGGAGGTTACTCTTGTTACTGTGATGGGAAGAAAGGATTCAAACTTGCTCAAGAACAGAAGAGTTGTGAGGTAACATTTTGCAAGGCTAATCTTCCCATCTCTTTTTTAAAATGAAAGAACCAGGTACTTATTTCCACACAGTTGAGGTAAATCAAGAGAATACAGATGTCTATTATAACTGCTATAGTTCAAAGCAGGCTATGAGTCACAATCCATTTACTAATTTTGGTCATGTAAGTGGTAAACATTGTGGATAATTAGTGACTGGATTAAAAAAAAGAAAAGCTGCAGGGCCACAGTTCAGAGAGTGCTCATCTGTATAGCCTGTACATTTATAAAATGCAAAGTGTATGTTTATTTAAGAAACTAAGAAAAGCTGAGGTTTATACTCCTCTTTGTGAGAAAAAAGTCTTTCATAGAACTTTAGAGAAAACATTTTCCAGTGTCTGCTTTTCTTTATCTCACTCTGACAAGTTTGATCATGCCGCAGGCATGTTAGTACTTGCAAGAGTGCTCATAAAATCTCAGGTGGAAACAACTCTGTCAGAGTAGGATTTAGTTGGGGTTTAAGTATATGGAAATTCAGAGAGGTCAATTTTGTTAATTTGTATCTCTCAAAATTGCTTTTAGTTACTAAGATTCAATTCATAATTGATCCAGAAATTGAATGTTGGGGGTAGGTTCTAGTTCTTCTTCCATTGTAATAAATAGGTCAACATTTGAAGCTCTTTTTTTTTTTTCCTAAATAAGGATCACATGTTAGTGATCTTTAGTCAAATTCTTGAATCTCTTTTAATTTTTAAAAGTTAAAGTGAAATTTCAAATGCTTATGAAGCAGACAGTAAAAAAAGCCCTAAACTATATAATGATTTAATCATGAATTTACACATACCTCTATATCTGCTACCCAGAGAAAGCTGTGTATGTCCAAAAAATGTAACATTTCATGTTATGCCACCTACTTGGTAAAGAAAGGTAAGGTAAGCTAGTTGGCATATGTAATAACGTTGGTAGTACTTCATTGGACTGTATTGTGTTCATGTCTATTTTGTAATTTGGTTTTCTATTATTTCAGTATTTGTTGTAGTTACACATTACCATCTACCTTGGAATAGATTTATGGAAGTTCTAAGAGGAAATGAGATATTATTTCTGGACCTAGATTAAATACAGTGCTGTTTACACAGTTCCCCCCAGAATATCCCTGTATGTATGCCCAAGAAATTCTCCCTTAAAAAACTTTCCATTTTAATATTTGTTTTTGCTCTTAGAAGGAAAAAAACTTGATGTTACATCAGATGACTCTAAATCACTTTTTTTTTGGTGAATTCCTTGGAGATTACAGTGATATCTTACTTTATATTTAATCCATTCCGGTTTTCCAGCATTCCCTTTACTATCTAGATAGCAAATTTTTGCTCAGAAAAATTTTGGCTTAATAAGACTTTAAAACGTGTATTCTTGGAGATTATACTGATAGACTATACAAGGAAGTAAAAGATATTGCTTTATTATTACCATGGGTGTTCTTAATTTATTTTAGTGTATCACAGAGGATACATTTGACAAGAACACTAGGAAATAGAGAAAGGATGATACCCTGACACAAACACCAAGCAGTAACCTATGCTTTTTGTTTGTTTTGTTGCCTTTTCTCCAGGCTGTTCCAGTGTGTCTTCCTTTGAACCTTGACAAAAATTATGAATTGCTTTACTTGGCAGAGCAGTTTGTAGGGGTTGTTTTGTATTTAAAATTTCGTTTGCCGGAAATCACCAGGTGAGGTACCAATGTCAATGATAATTTCTAGACATAAGCAGGTCAGGACATAAGAAAAGAAGTGACTGAAAGGTTTAAAATGTATGAAATTTTATTATCAGATAAGTTAGGTGTATTATCAGTCAGATGACATGAGGTACCCCAAAGTTCATTTTTATCTTTACACGTAATTTTCATGCTTGAATCATTTGGGGTCGTTCTAGGCTGATTTTCTCCAATGATCATTTTATCTTAATCCATAGTTCTTCCTTTTCTAGTGAATACGTATTTACTAAGAAGCTGGGAAAGTGGATTTAATGTATTTGTGAAATGTTCTTTCTTTATACATGTTGTTAAAAATTAAGTAATGAGAAATATTCAAAATACTGCTTTTAGAATATAGTTATATTCATAATTATTAAGGAAACTATATATGATTGCTTAAGTAGTATTTTAAAGGAATGCATCACATGATTTTAGTTGACTATCTGGGTACTTTATCTGCCATTCCTGTAGTTAGGCTGACTTTCAGGAGGGAGTAATTTCTTCTATTTTTGAGTCATGACTCTAATTATCAAATTTTCTCAGAGCCATACATTGTTGGAACTAGGAAAAGAATTTCAGAATTTTGTTGGAATAATGGAAAGGAAACATTTGAGACTGATTATAGAGTACAAATTTTAAAATATTTTAATTAGATAAGCATGAATATTTAATTCATTAGATATATGAGTGATTATTCATTAAATAATTCAACTCAATCCATAGAAATTTTACCATTTAGGAACATTGAAATTTATTCACTGATTTAATTGTGCTCTTTTGACACTCTCGTTTCCCCCAAGTTGTGGTTTTCCCCTTTAACATCTCAGAGCAAATAATATCTTCTAGTGATTTGATTGTAGACAACCTTTCCTTGCTATGAGAGTAATGAGAATGAGAGAGAAGAGTTCATTATTACATACCTTCAGGCACTTTCAGAGGTATTCATTTTTCACAATTCACAAATGCTTGGGCTGTAACATTGGATCAAATTGGATCAGTTATTTCTTTCAGTATTTATTTGTTTATTAGTTGTTTAGTTTTAACTTTTTATTGAAGTATTATAAATATATATATATACATAGAAATATACATGTATCTTACATGTAAGCTTGATGAATTTTTATAAGCTGCCACCTGTGTAACGAACACAAAGAACAGCTAACACTTTTATATTTATTTTTTCTTTTTTTGCAAATTCCTTCAGCTCTGTTTCCCATGATCAAATACTTACCCTACCCCAAAGTTAGCAGATTCACTTTTTTTCACTCTACAATGCTTCTGAAAAAGAATGAATTGTTCCCCAGTATAATGAGTCAGTATGCTGATGTATTCCAGACAGAAAATGTGCAGAACACGACTCTTTGAATGACTGGTTTAGCATGATTTTACAAAGAGAAGGAAATTATCTCCATAATAGGATGAACTTCTATAAGGTCCTGAGAGTACATAGATTTGGGTTTTGGCAAGATAATATATGCTTCACATCAGCAAAATGTGATGAATATGAAAGAGAATAGAAGTCCCTACTCGAAGCAAAATGGTTCTTTTTAATATGAGTTCAGTAAATTCCTACTACATTGTTATCTACCCAACATACTTTACTCCACATTTACCTCTTTGTAATATTTTCTTGAAATTCTAAAGACTAAAAAGTTTATTCTATCACTTTTTCTTTTTCTTTTTTTTTTTTTTTTGCGGTACGCGGGCCTCTCACTGTTGTGGCCTCTCCCATTGCGGAGCACAGGCTCCGGACGCGCAGGCTCAGCAGCCATGGCTCACAAGCCCAGCCGCTCCGCGGCATGTGGGATCTTCCCGGACTGGGGCACGAACCCGTGTCCCCTGCATCGGCAGGCGGACTCTCAACCACTGCGCCACCAGGGAAGCCCTATCACGTTTTCTTTGTTCCATTTGAGGTAGATTTGTGCCCCATTGCAAGTGGTGCCTCTATCACTATACTATTATATGTGGAATAAGAAAGAGTGTGGGATTCTTTCTTGCCTTATTTAGTAATTATCTGAATTCTTGATTTTTTAACTTAAATTACCTTTATTTTAACTTGACTCAGATGACTAATAGTTATACAACTATTTTTCCTATTCCCTGTTTATCTTTTTTCAGTCATTTTGCTTTGCTGGTTCCTTGGAAACTTTAATGCTAATTCTCATTAAAGTATCCTAAGGGCACTGAATTGATATATATTATTTTTTAGTCCAGCATAGTTAAGATTTTTTCCTCCCCTGTAGTAGCTACATACATATATGTGCAGAGTCTTAACAGCAACAGGTGTTATCAGAGCTCAGATAGCCCCAAACACATGACTATATCTTTTAAGCTCTCCTTCCATGTACTCTAGTATAGTAATTTATGCAATTAGAGTTTGGGAGAGCTTTTGAAATTAAATGAACAGATATATTTAAAAGTCTTTGACTTTACCTTCCTTTACCACACATGAAGTCTTAATTATGCTTGCAATCATCCAGATACTACCTTGTGTATCTCTGTGAGTGATTCCTTCCTGACATATATGAAATCATAGGAAAATATGTTTTTGATGGATAAACTTCAATCATGGAATTGTAACATCTTTTACTAATCACGTATGGATACAGCAAAAAAAAAAAAAAAAAAAGGAATCTTAATGTCAGATTACATAGTGTATAAAAGGCTCCAGGAGAGAGACAATATGCCTAATATTTGTACATGAGTATTCCAGCATTTTAAAGAGTGCCTTCAAAACAAATGCCAAAAGATGAAAAATTATCAAAGCATCTTTTCATTGGGAAAAAAGATTCCATGAATAAGCAAGAAGGTATAATAACTTGATTTTAAACACACATGGAGCCAGAGATAATACAAGAAAAGCTTAGTCCTGCCCTTCTCTTTTATTTTTTTCAGGGAAAGAGTTGACTCTTTCAACGTATTGCTGTTTGCCAGTACAAGAAAACAAAAGAATAACATAGTCTTCGATATTTCTTACTATTAAGGCTCTCTCTTTGTCCATTGTTTAGATTTTCAGCTGAATTTGATTTCCGGACATATGATTCAGAAGGTGTTATCCTGTATGCAGAATCTTCTGATCACTCAGCTTGGTTCCTGATTGCACTTCGTGAGGGCAAGATTGAAATTCAGTTTAAGAATGAATATACAGCCAAAGTCACAACTGGAGGCAAAGTTATTAATGATGGTTTATGGAATATGGTACGTTTTGCTGAATTCATGAAGAATCTTTCCACTTTGATACAATTTGTGTAAAATCATTGATCATTTTTTAAATAGTAATACCAAAGCAAAATAATTTTGGGTTTATCTGATGTTGTGTGAAGTATATTCTACATGCTGTAAATCCCTGAAACAGCCTGAGAAGTTATTATCTCTCAATATATTGCAGATTTCCCATAACTGAAGTTGTTTTCAGTTATTTGCTTTGTTAAAGACAACTACTCTGTCCTTAACTTTTTACCTTTTTTAGTGGCTGTCACTGGGTGAACAGTGATATTGCTCCTATAGGTCAGGGGTTATTCTAAGACAACACTGATCAAGGACAACTACACTGGATAGCCATCAATATTTTTAATGTAAAAGAGAAATACACATAGTAACAAAATAAAAAATTTAATTTAATTTTAAATATTATCATGTAGGTATAATCAGTTTGTACAAACAGGATACACTAGCTGGTACCAATTATAGTGCTTAGAAACTAGCATTTTTAGATAATCCCTAAAAGTGAGTCTTTATTTTAATAATCAAGAACAGCACTTTAATTTACTGTATTAAAATGGAACTTTTCTTGGAGAAGGAATTACTTGGAGAAGGGATTACTGTTAGTCCACAGAGGGGAGAATTCCTTTCTGCAATTAAATCAATGCTACTTTCAGCAGAGAAGAGCAGAGAGAAGAATGTTGTGCCCCAAACAGACACTACCTAAGCCTGTGGGAACTGACAAGAGATCCATGTTGAGCAGCCATGTAAAGTCATCACTAAATTATTTCATTCTTATATTTATCCACTCTTGCAGTCATATACTCAATAAGCTTTTAGTGAGCATGTTTAAAGTGCTCCATCCCTGAGTTCAAGACTCTAAAACTATAGCAAGAGTTTGTCCTTGCTCGAGGTTAGTACCTCACAGTTTAGTAGCTGATGCTGCATTATGAACTAATACAATATAATGTGAAATATGTTACAGGAAGGTGGTAATAAAGAACAGTTGGGTGCAGATACGGTTCACCAAAAAGGGGGCTGTCTGTCTTTTGGCAGCCATGGATTTTGGGCTCCTAACTCTAAAAGAATAGTGTCTTCACAAGATCAAATGCAACTGTCAGAGAAGTCACTAAAATTCTCTGACTTCTAATGCTTATTAGTGTATCTTTGTTACTACATCTTTCCCACTATATCTGTATCTAGAATATTTGATGCATACAGCTATACCTCCAGTGTGCTGCAGAATACATTTTAATGCCTAACGTCCCTAAATCACCTATCTAAAACTGCTAAAATCACTTTTGCAGCAAAAGAGAGTGAACAGAATTTTTTCTAATGAGTTTATACAAATTGAAAATATCAGCTGTTTGAAGGTGAATTTAGATAAATTTCTAGGTAGGATATAATATGTATAAAGAAGAAGGTAAATATTTATCTGTGAAGTTATCATGAGTTGCAAGTAGTGTTTGTTAAAGAACTGTTCATGAGTGATATTATTAAAGACAGGATTCGAGGGCTTCCCTGGTGGCGCAGTGGTTGAGAGTCCGCCTGCCGATGCAGGGGACACGGGTTCGTGCCCCGGTCTGGGAAGATCCCACATGCCGCGGAGTGGCTGGGCCCGTGAGCCATGGCAGCTGGGCCTGCGCGTCTGGAGCCTGTGCTCCGCAACAGGAGAGGCCACAACAGTGAGAGGCCCGCGTACCGCAAATAAATAAATAAATAAATAAATAAAAAGAGACAGGATTCGGGATGGATGGAAGGTAGCTGTTCAGTTTCATTTATTTGTCTCCTATGTTTATGATTCTTGTTAAAAAGAAACTATTATTTAACGATATGCCCATGTTTTAACTAAAACACTTAAATTAAAATCTCCCTCTATAAACTGAATACAAGTTTATATAAAAAGTAAAGTTTAAGAACAATAAGCAAGTCAGACAAAAACTTGACTCTGGTAATAAACTTGGTGCTGGCTGTTTTTCTTTAAATTGTAATTCAATATTGTAACAATTTATGCATTTTACGTCCCCGAGCATGGTAGTTTTACTAGCTTTTAATCCTGATGTTTTATTAAAGAATTATATACTGTTTCAAACAAATTTATGCAGCACAGAAATTATTTCAAATAAATAAATACTTTAAATAAGTATTTTAATTTTAATTAATGACAAAGTGGTTAAGTTAAATTAATCTGTAAACTGGACTATGGATTATTTTAAAATTTTAAATAAAATACTTTAAAAATAAGAAATTAGAATTAAAGCATATAACAGAATTGTTTTGTAATTCAGATTAAAAAAATTGAATGTGTAATGATTAAGTCATTAGAATGGCTACAACCTGTAGGAATAAATATTGCTACTTTGTAAGTGATTATTATATTTCATAGTTGGGTATAACCCTAATATTGGTGGGAAATATATAATTTGTATAATAATTTCATTTATTCAACAAAATATTTATTGAGCACTTTATGTGCTATTCCTTCTTCTAGGTGGTGGGGATACAACAGTGAATAAAACAAAGTCCCTGCTCTAATGGAGCTTGCATTGTGGTGGTGAGATGAAAACCACAAATGCATCAACAAATAGACATGTCAGATAGTTATTAATGCTATGAGATAAAAGAAAAGCAAGGCCAGGCAATAGAGAATGATGATGGTGAGTGTGCATATGGAATCAGGAAAGCCATCTCTGATGAGATTGCATTAGAAAGAGACTTGAGGACACAAGACCGGAGAACTTTTTGGGGAAAGGTAATTCTGTCACGTGAACAGCAAATACAGAGTCTTAGGCTAACTTAGATGATTTTGAGAAGTGACATAATCTAATTTGCATGTTAAAAGATAATCCTGGTTAGGACCTAATGGCTTTGTGGAAACCAGACAGTAGAGAGTAAGGACAGAATAGGATGTGGGGTTAGGAGACTATTGCAATAACACAGTGGAGAGAAGATGGCAGCTTTGACTGGAGTGTAGATAGTGGGAGTGGTGAGAAGTGGTCAGATTCTGTATATATTTTTAAGGTCCAGCCTTCAATTTAAGGTAGCTAAAAACTTTTTGGTATTCAGCACAAAGAGGGCTTTAAAGGCCCTGAGACTGGTTATTGTCAATCTGTCGTTTTAAACTCTATCACATCCAATATAATGCTCTAATTATTATATAAAAAAGAAAATAATTTTTAGAAAGTAATATGTATTTCCATATGTAAATACTCAAGTTCAAGTATAATATTTGTCAAAGCTTACTCCTATACATAGAATAACATGAAAGCTACAACTGAAGACATGCTTGGGGGTGTTGTATTGGCAACTCAAAAACCATAAGTGCATAAATGGTATTGCCATTAGTAATAGTAATTTTCCAAAATGGTGAGAAAATCTTGATAAAGATCCAAACAAAACAAACATCAGTCTGTTCTTTGTTTACAAGATTATTACATTCTTGAAAAATTCAGTGAATGCTGAAGTGGTGCAACAGATATTTAGTGTTTATATTACACACAAGCACAGGTAATTATAAGCATGAGGATACCCTACATGAATATCTACTAGGAAGGTTCAGAAAATTTGTAGGATATTGGATATTTTATTATTTATTTTGCATGACTATCCTGCATATTGCAGGGTGTGCCTAGCATCTTGCAATGTCAGCATACCTCTTACTGTGAAAACTAAAAGTGCCCACCACCCCCAAATTTGCCCTAGAGTGGGGCAATAAAGCCCCCTTTAAAAATATTTGCATGACTAGAGGGATGAACTCTGGGGCTTATTATAGAGGTTGAGAAGAAGAGGATCCAGCAAAGAAGACTGAGAAGGGGTGTGAGGAGAAGCAAGCCAGACGGAGGTCCTGGAGGCTAAGTTAAGAACATCTTTCAAGGAGGGAATAATCATTAGAATAAAATGATGGTGACTGGTTATATTAAGGACAGAGCCTTGACCAACTTTAAATCTGTAAATGTTACCAAATTTATTTTATTTACTTGAGAGCATAGTTTTTTCCTTCCTGTAGTAGTGCTTTTAATATGCCTATTGTTTGGCTTCCCTGATTGATAAGTAAACGAAGAGTTTGCATTTTGAGTCCTACAGTTTTACATAAGGAGATTGCAGCAGTGGTTCTTCAAATTGCCTTTATGGGAAGATTTTTTTTAAAAATATTTATTTATTTTCCTTATTTTTTTGTCTGCAACAGGTCTTATTTGCGACACATGGGATCTATGTTGAGGCATGTGGGATCTTTTTGTTAAGGCGCGCGGTCTCTTCGTTGCGGCGCTCGGGCTTCTCTCTAGTTGCAGCGCGCGGGTTTTCTCTCTCTAGTTGTGGCTCGCGGGCTCCAGAGCCCGTGGGCTCTGTAGTTTGCGGCACGCGGCTCTTGTTGAGGCTCACAAGCTCAATAGTTGTGGTGTCTGGGCTTAGTTGCCCTGCGGTATGTGGTGATCTTAGTTCCCCGACCAGGGATCAAACCCTCGGTCCCTGCATTGGAAGGGGGATTCTTTACCACTGGGCTACCAGGGAAGTCCAGGGAAGATTTTTTTAAATTGTTGGTTACCACTACTTCCAACCTTTTTTAGAAATCCAAACTACTTTCAAAATTGGAAAAACCCAATTTAATTTAATGTGCTTTCTTATGACCTCAACTATTTTTGAATTTTGAAATAAAATATAATTTGTGCATAATGAACAGAATACTGAATGTACTAACTTCTCTTAATTTATATTAAAAACTTATTTACCTTATTGATTTCATATTTATACTATCAGACAAATGCAAAATAAGGGCACTTAAAAGTTTTCTACGATTTTTTTTTTTGCGGTACGCGGGCCTCTCACTGCCGTGGCCCCTCCCGCTGTGGAGCACAGGCTCCGGACGCGCAGGCCCAGCGGCCATGGCTCACGGGCCCAGCTGCTCCGCGGCATGCGGGATCCTCCCGGACCAGGGCACGAACCCGCGTCCCCTGCATCGGCAGGCTAACTCTCAACCACTGTGCCACCCGGGAAGCCCCCACTTTCTTTTTTTAAACTGTTAATTTTGGGCTTCACTGGTGGTGCAGTGGTTGGGAGTCCGCCTGCCGATGCAGGGAACATGGGTTCGTGTCCCGGTCTGGGAAGATCCCACATGCCACGGAGTGGCTGGGCCCGTAAGCCATGGCCGCTGAGCCTGTGTGTCCAGAGCCTGTGCTCCGCAACGGGAGAGGCCACAACAGTGAGAGGCCCACGTAAAAAAAAAAAAAAAAAAAAAAACTGTCAATTTTATGGCACACTGGTGTTGAAAGATCTATATTATAAATGGGTATTTAAATATAATAGAAAAATATTGATTTTTAAACTTTAAAATATGGTATTGATTTAATTTTCCATCAAGAATTACCACACTAAAACACATTTTTATCACCTTTATACTAATGTGACATTTCAAATGTATTGGAACAAATTAACAAGTACAGTAAAATGATTACTTTGGAAAATTATATACTGGAATAATAACAGGATTTTTCAATCGTGGTGTTTCAAATGAAATGCAGTAATGTTTGGTTGTTTGATAATTTTTGTCTTTTTAATTATAGGTCTCCGTGGAAGAATTAGAACAGAGTATTAGTGTAAAAATAGCTAAAGAAGCTGTAATGAATATAAATAAACCTGAAAGCCTTTTTAAGCCTACCAATGGGTTTCTAGAAACCAAAGTATACTTTGCAGGAATACCTCGGAAAGTGGAGAATGCACTCATTAGACCGGTAACGATCCAAGCTTATATCATTCATCATGGATGAATTCCTTCATCTGTAATAGATTTGAAAATGTGTTTTTCTGAGAGTCAAATGAAGTTATTTTGTTGAACATACCAACTGTGAAAACTTGAATTGAACATGGAAAAATAACATTATCAACCCTTGAAATTATATTAAGGAAATAAGAAAATGAATGTAGTGTTTTTGAGCCCGTTTAAATTCCCAGCATTACTCATGGAGGAGTAGATTTTCAAAAATTCTCCGAGTATCAGTTCAACGTTAACATCATAATAGTCCATACTCAGCCATTAAACATATAAATACATATATTTGAGTCCAAAATTACATGATTTTGTAGAAGCCTGTCAAAGAACTTTCTTAGGTCTGTTTTAGGACTAAAATTTGGGAGATAAGAATAGCACATAAGGTGGAATGTTTTAAATAGAAAAATCTTTGGTGGGAATATAACTGCAGCCTGTCATAAATTGAAGTTAGATATAACAGATGATTTTCTGTATGTGGTATTTGACTAACTACCATGGAAAAGGTTTCATGAAGGAGACTAATCAATGACCTTGAAGAGTTTAAAATTTTTCATTTGAAGTCATGGGTCTGCCAAATTTACACTTGCTGATTTAACTTAAATATTGACCATTTTGTATCCATCTTTCAGTTACCTTAGCTTTTAAGAGATTTCTATGATATGATATAAAACCTGAATTAGTTAACTCATGTCAGAGTGAATATACCTGTCCTTTGAAATTGATAAATCAAGACATTTAAGAAGTAAAATAAATTATTCAAAAAGAATCAACTATTTATGAAATGGCTGCATGTCTTGAATGTGGCTGGTTGCTTTGGTGAGACTGAAGAATGCAAACACTTTTGTTCCTGAAGAGGCTTAGTATCTGATGGCAAGACAAACCTAGTTGTAAATGCAGTTAAAGAAAAACAGAAAGCAGCTTAGAACTCAGGGGCACAGCTAGAAGCATATGTGGAACTCGAGAGCAGAAGAGTTAGTGCTGGATGATGCAGAAGAGGCAGGTGGGGCTTGAGGTGTTAAAAATCATTAGGATCGCAGTGGAGGTCTCTGATGGCATAAGCTCACTTTTACTGAAAAAGACTGTCCATCTGAAGGACACCTTGAACAAAATTTAGATAAAATTCAAAATATGTTAAATACTTTAAAATGTCATCAAAGAAAGAATTTTGCCTCTAAATGAAAACCTATATCTATAATCAATTAAGCCACTTCACTTATGAGTCTGTCTTTTTCAAGTTTAAAATGCTTTCATTGATCTATATTTTAAATTGTTAGATTAACCCTCGTCTAGATGGATGTATTCGAGGCTGGAATTTGATGAATCAAGGAGCTTCAGGAGTAAAGGAAATCATTCAAGAAAAACAAAATAAGCATTGTCTTGTCACTGTGGAGAAGGGTTCCTACTATCCTGGTTCTGGAGTTGCTCAATTTAGCATAGATTATAGTAAGTGATTTCCCATTTTATCTTTCTTTTCTCATTACTGTTTAAATTTATTCATTAACAAACAGCAATAATTCCTTCAGTAAACATTGTTGAGTACTTACTATGTGCCAGATATAGTGTTAGGCTTATTCATACTGTTATATATTTTTAATAGAATTTTTCCAAGTATATTGGGAGAAAAAAATGTGGTTGAATATGCTTATGTTGTTACTTAAAGGTTATTGGCACATAATCTGATTAATTTTGGGTAAATTAAATTTACCTGTTTTAAGGTTCACCAGTTTCTCAGTTGTATTGAGTCTAATGATTAATGCATCAAAGGTATTCATCTTTATTTCTAGCATTTCCATTTAATCCTTTCCTAAAATATCAACCTCTTTGTTAAAATTTCCCATCTGTTCATGCGTGTTGTCCATCTTTTCCACCCAAGCCTTCAACTTATTAATCATAATTAAATTCCTTGTCTGACAGTTCCAATATCTGTGTCATATCTAAATCTGGTCATATTGATTGCTTTTTCTCTTGACTATGGGTCATTTTTCCATGCTTCCTTCTGCATTTAATAATTTTTGTTTAAAGGTGGGTGTCAGATAAAACAGTAGAGACTGAGATAAGTAATATTTACATTTGGAGATGAGCACAGCTCTCCTTTTGCTAGACACTTAATGAGGGGACTTGAATCAATCTAGTCAAGAATTGAGCTGCTTCGGTTTTCTTGTTTCCATGACTACCCTTCAAATTCCTTTAATATACCTTGTGCTTAGGGTAGTGGCCAGAGGATTTTTCTTAATAACTGATCCACCCTCAGCTTTAGATATTGCTTTCATTTGCCTCAAGAAAGTGTCTCTCTCTGGTCTTGTTTCACTCCCAGAAGTGCTCTTAGTTGTTACTTGACATTTGCTAGCAATTTAGAGGGGTCTGGGGGGTCAGAGGAGCATTCTCTAATGTTCTGGTGCAGATTCAGTCTTAGACAGGTGTTAACATTCCTGTGTCTCAGGGGTGTGGACTTTCCACTGTCCCCCCTCCTGCCCACCAGTAAGGGAGATATCTAATGGTCAGGACTCAAGGTGTATTCCTGCTCCTTCCCCAGGGTAAATGATTTTTTGTTGTTGTTTTGTTTTTTGCTATTTTCATTCCCTAATCTGTAGGTGTAATGGGACTTTGATGTGACCTAACAGCAACAAGGTTTTGCTGCCTTTCCCCTAATGCTTTAAGTCTTGCTTAGAGCAGACAAAGAATGATCTGGGTGAGACTTTGTGCCTTTCCTGCAGGTTGCTGTTCCTCTCCCCTTGGGCTTGTACTAGGAAGGAAACTTTCTCTAATCTCTTTCTCTTCTCCCAGTTTTTCTCTTGAGCACCCAGTAAGATCCTTTGAATGGGTATGAATTTCCCATGTGTTTGCAGTTTCCCTGGCTTCTATATTCTCACACCAACCCCTACTTGGACTTTAGCGTTTTGTTAAGATTTTTACCTACATGCTTTTTACCAAATTGTATAGTGTTTGTTGTCTGCCTTGGGTAAGAGAGTACTCTCCCCCTGTTTCTCCCTCGAAGCATCTGTCTTCCTTTAGGTTTCTAGTCAGTTGTTCTGCAACCTCGGCTCTTGGTGATAGTTCAAGAAAAGTTGTACTTATATAGATAATTGGTCTTTTGTTGTTTTAAGAATGGGAACGAGTACTCTCCGCAGTTTTCTATAGTCTAATAGGAACAGGAACTCTTGCCAAACCGACCCCAGGTTTTTACCTTTACAAATAATACTTCTGGGATATCCTTGGACATTTATCCTTGTACCCTCATGTGATTAATTCTGTAGGAGTGAATCTCAGATTCTCTCCATCAAAGGTTATGCAAAGGTATAATTCCTACTGTTCAATCAGATTCTCTTCCAAAGATGATTTATCAATTTGTACTTTTACCAAGAGAAGAAAGTTTATGCTTGGGATTTGTTTCTAATTTGAGAGTTGAAAAATTAAATCTTGTAGTTCTAATTATTATCCCAGTTTCTACTGAAGTTGAATATCTCACCATATGTTTATTAGGTATTTGTGTATCTTAATTATTTTATTGGCGTCTCTGTCTTTTTGTGTTTTAGGAGTTCATTATTTGAGCTACTAACAGTTTGTATTATAAATTTAGTGTTGATTTGATATCTCTGATTTAAGAAAAAAACATATTTTAAATTTTTTATTTTCAGCCTTAAAAAGTATTGCTACAGTTTTAAGAAAGCATCTTACACTAGTGCTTTCTGTTTCCTAACGTAAATTAATACGTCTTTAACTTTAGCTCTGTTCTGTATATGAAGGTATTTTTAAAAAAAAAAAGTTTAAATTGAGTTGATGACTGGACATAGGCAAAAACTAGGCCCACAATTTGTTCAAAGGACAAAAAAAAAATCTCTGGAAAGAAAATGAAAATAAGAGTTTTATTGCACCTGAAAGAAATTACTTTCATAAGTAATTAGTTATTTCACAGATAATATGAAAGTGACCTACTTTATAATTAATATTTAATGTTACATTATAATTTCTGTACATTTGCATGTTCATTTTAGTTTGAGTTTGTTAATATCTTAGAGTAAATTTACTTACTTCAAAATGATTATATGCATTTTTTTTCTCTTGCGTGGGAATTAAAGGATTATAGTGAAAAACGTTATAGTATTAGATGTGGCTAAATGGAAGAACATCTTGTCAAAGGAAAATTATTTTCTCCATTCACATTCACCTTTTTAAAGCCTCCAAGTAGTATTTGGGCTATTGTTATACATTACTTTATGTTGAGTGACGAAGACTGCATTCAGATTGTAAACTAATATTTTCAGAAATCAAACTATTTTGAAATCATATTAATTCAATAAATATTTGTTAAGGGACTGCTGAGGAAGACAGTGATGATAGAGACATGTAGAGCGTGCACTCTAGTTGGGTAGACAATTGACCTAGTAATTAAGAGAAAGAATGTTAAGTATTATGTAAGAGAATCACACAAGAGTTCCTATTAGAATTTCAAAGTTAACTATTGACTTCAGAGTATGTCTCTACCATTACACCATCCCACACCCCTATGTATAGAAATCATACTTTGCTTTCCCACTGCTCTAATCTGACCCCTATATGGAAGAGAAGTGGGGCGGGGGGTGGCAGCTATACCCAAATTTTCCCTCAGAAATAGTACAATAAATGTGTTGAACTTTCTTCTAATGTGTACTTTAAAATACAACCACTCTGAGATTTGACCATGGGAGAATATATAAGACAGAAGGAAGAGCTATTAAAGAGCAAATGGAAAAAATCGTAGTAATCCTGAACACCACAATCCAGAATTCTGTTGTAGGAAGAAGAACAAAAGGATGAGGCTCCATCTGTGTTTTTTGCCTGCATTAAAAACTGTTTTTCTTTTGCTTTGTTGTGCCTTGGTTATATGGATCATTGAAAAAGAGGACTAAAAGCTTTAGTATCACACAAAGATGGCTTTGAGTATTGATAAGATTATACTTAATTCCTTCTGGTGCACCTTAGGAGGACATTGATCCTGCTTCTGTTTCATTGTTTAAACAGAGAATGTATCCAATCCTGAGGCTTGGCAAGTAAATGTGTCCTTGAATATTCGCCCATCGTCGGGCACCGGTGTTATGTTGGCCTTGGTTTCCAGTAACACAGTGCCCTTTGCCTTGTCCTTGGTGGACTCCGCCACTGAAGAGCTTCAGGTACTTTAAACCTTTATGATCCTTGGTTTGTAATTTTTTTTTAATCCGTAAAATGGATAAAATTGCAGTATTTACCTCAAAGTGCTATTTTGAAAATTAAATAACTTATATAAGCTATTTGGCACAGCCTCTAGCACATCATTAAAGATTCAATAAACATTCATTATTGTTACTTTTTTGCTGGCTTATTTCCAAGGTTTGAACCAAGAAGTAAAGGGATGGGAGAGGGGAATGGAAAAGCCTATTGCATCTATAGCTCCGATTAGGCAGACTCACACAAAGGTTGCTTGGTGTCTTCTCTGAGTACCCAGAGATCTGACCTTATTCAGAATCTTTGAAGTATCATGGGAATTTGTATGTATTAACAAAATAGAAGTGAGTCTGACTGCAATCCACTCTGAAATGTTCAGTGCCTAATTATAATGTTTTGTGTTTTCTGGCACTCTTAATCTTTTCTCCCATAAGTAAATTAGGAAAGACTACAGAAAACTAAAACCAGTCTATTTGGCTTCCTGCTGGCAACTCTGCCTTGAAATTAGGAGAAAGCACAGGAAAAAACTCTTGGATAAAAGAAAACATGAGAGTTATCAGATCTGTATTATTCAACTTCTATTAGAGGCTAATAGTTCTGTCCTTGTGTCATCCACAGTGGGGGGATTCCAAGTTACAGCAAGCAGCTTTCGTTTGGTCGCGGTTGGCTTGGATGCTCTCTGTGGCTTTTAGAAAGAGACATATAATTGAATAATGCCTGTAGTGATCAAAAGGGATGCTATTTGCCACTTAAAGGATGGATGGGGGCAGTTTCTGATGGTTAACTGTAAGCAACCTAAAAAGATCCTGCTGAGCTTTTGTCTCCAGTGACCACAGGAGCTTGCTACATTTGGGTTTCAGCTTTTTTTTTGCTTGTTTGTTTTGTTCCTTAAGCAAAATGGAAATCCTGCCTTCAACACTACATTCACACGGTAGAGGAGGTTAACAAGTGCCATGTCTTTGATATTTATTTTATCTTTTCTGTGTTTGTCTTCATGGCCACAGCTCCCTTTTTTTTGGTGTGTCAGATTGCCTTCTTATGATCTGTGAACAACGTTTCATAACATTATTCCACATAATATTGATCATTCTGGAACATTTTCTCAGCTGACTTTTCCTGAGTTCAGGATATGCATGTGTATAACACAGTAACATTTCCTCAGCTAAGCTGTATTTGGGAAGTATAGGCTTCATTTAGCATTGGTATCTTGGATTCCTAAGTAAACACTTCAGACTATCTTTCTACCATCTGGGAAGCATCATAACAACCGTCTCCCTCGTTTTGATTTTATTTTTTCTCTCTTTTTATATTTCCTCTACATGCCGGGAAGCTAGATGTATAGATGACTCTCAACAAGTTGAGTAATTTAGTGTATCAGCAGTTAGAAAAGTTCAGAAAAAAAAAAAATATATATATATATATAGAGAGAGAGAGAGAGACAGAGAACCTTCTGGTAAATACTCTGTAACTTACTGCTGGCAATCCTGGTTTTTCTTTCTCAGAGACTTCATAAAATTTGTCCCAAGTCTACAGGATTTCTTGTGTGGCACAGATAAACCTTTTAGTCTTGCTGGCATGTGCTTACTAAAGCACTTCAAAATTTCCAAGTCTTTTCCCCAACAAAGAATGATTCAACTCCTTCCTTTTCCATATGTAGGTTTTGAAATTAGGAAGGCTCATAAACAGAAATGTATTGCTTAAGACACTACTTTGGTTCCCATTGTTGGTGAGACAATGCTGTTTATTGAATTTTCGGAACCTGCTATACATGTACATCTTAGCTAAACCTGGAGTTTTTAAAACTAATGTGTATTTTAAAATTATGATTACGATAATAGTAGTTTTTTCATTTAAATAAATTTGAAAGCTCTATCATACTTTTCCCCACCTCATTGAAGTTCTGTTTTTGAATTTCACAAACTAAAGTCTCTCTTAAGCAGCATTAACGTTAGTACTTGTTTATATTGAGTCTTTGCTCTGTTCTTCAGGATATCCTGGTATCTGTTGAAAATATGGTAATAGCTCGGATAGAGGCCCTAAGTCTGTGTTCTAATCAACAATCCCTTCTGGAAATCAGAGTCAACAGAAACAATTTGGAGCTGTTGACTCAAAATAGAAAAGACAGCTTCCACTCTGAAGACTTTCAAAGACAATTTGCCATCTTGGACAAAGCAATGAAAGAAACAGTGGCCACTTACTTGGGTGGCCTTCCAGGTATCTTCTTACTTTTTCTTCAGTTTTAAAAAGTATATTTTTAATGAAATTGATAGTATTTTAAATATGTAATTGTAGTAAAACAGCATCTATCTATCTATCTATCTATATATATATACAGCATATGTAGAGTAAAGGGGCATCAGAAGGGAAGAGAAAATTCCAGTATCCATTATTCTTTTTCTGGGGGTTTGCATGAACATTTTATTGGTACATTTTTATTTAATTTATTTAATGGTAAACTGAAACTAACCAAGCTTTGATGCATTTGACTATCCTAGCCAGAAATGGTTTATTATTTCATTTTATCCTCACAGTTACCTTCTGAGTTTAATATTTATTCTTCAATTCAACCATCAGTCACCCAATATTATTAAGAACCTATGTCTCAGGCAGTAGGGACACAGCAATAAACAAATGGATATGATCTCTCCTCTTAAGGCCTTTACAATCTAGCAGCAGAGGTACATATTAAACAAGTGATTAGGAAAATATAAAAAAAAATTCATAACTTCTATGAAAAAAAAGTAGGGGTTGCTATTAGAGCCTGAAAATGAGGCTTGATCTGGTTATGGGGGCCAGGAACAAGCTCTCTGAAGAAGGCAATAAGATACAAATCTGATATTTGAAGGATTAAATGAAGTTAACCAGGTGATGAGGGTGGAGACTGGAGCTAGTATGCAGGTAAAAGTGTCCATGGCAAAATGGAAAGGGGTTGACATGCTTGAGGAATATATAGAAGACCAGTATGGTGAGAGCACATTGGGCAAGGGGGATGGTACTGCAAGAGGAGGCTGTGAAATGGGTGGGTGGGTGGGAGGTTTGTAGACCTGGTTCAGGATCGTGCATCTTATCATTAGAGCCTTGAGAATCATTAACAAGTTTTAGACAAGGAAGTGGTCTATCAATAATGAAGTTTAAAAAATTCCCCTTCATAATGGATGGAGATGGACAGGTGGGAGACAAAAGTGGATGAGATGAGTTGGGGGCTACTGAAGTAGCTCAGATGGAGAAGCAGTAATAATAACAGTAGTGACAACGATACTGCCATCGTTCATATTTAGTGCATAATAAACAGTCTGGGCGTTGTTCAGAGTGCTTCAATTGTATCAACCCATTTGATATTTAAAGTAGTCCTGTGAGGTAGGTACTATTGTTATCTCCATTTTGCAGATGAGGAAGCTGGGGAAGCTGCTGGACTAGGGTGATGGCAGTGGAGATAATATACAGTGAATAGATTGGAGATGTATGTGAGAAACAAAGTTAATAGAAATTAATGATTGAAAGAAGCTCTTAGGTATTTGGCATGAGCAGTTGCATGGGTGAAGATTCCATTTACCAAGATGGGCAAAACTGGAGGAAAAATAGTTAATATTGGAAAACATAAAATTGCCATCAACACTTTTCTTTAAATGACAAAAAAATTGAGGCAGAAAATTTTTTAGAAGCATTTTCAAATACCATTTGCATGTTATTCTCATGGGGAGAATTCTGAGTTTGATGTCTAGACTTCTAGTAACCTTCATTAAGTTACTTTAACTGCTCGGTGTGTTCATTTCCCATATATGGAAATTTTATCTGGGTTTTGGGGGAATAGAAGTAAATAGGCTGTAGGAAAATTCCTTGGCGGTCCAGTGGTTAGGATTCAGTGCTTTCGTTGCCATGGCCCGGGTTCAGTCCCTGGTCGAGAACTGAAATCCTGCCAGTCATGCGGCGCGGCCAAGATATACAAAAAGAAAAAAGAAGTAAATAGGCTGCAAAAGTTATAAATCGATGGATTGATAGATCCATGGATAGATATAGATACATAGTTACATTAACGTGATTAATTATTAGGAAGTAAAATTACAGTTCAAATGAATGAATTCTGCATTGAAATCCACCTACTACCTGATTCACAAATTAGTTGAATGCAATTTTAGGAAATCAAACAAACAATGAAAGAGTTCAAAAGAAGTGAAAATATCAGAATTTCAGTGGTTCCAGGACTTTGGCAACAGCGCTGAGAACTGACTTTAGGCAAGACGTGTTTAGAAAAAGAGTGAGGGAAAATTGAGGAGAACTGGAAATTGAGACATTGAGAGTGTGAACTGTGGGATGGGTAAATTAATTGATATGCAAAATAGGCATGTTAAATTGCATGTTATGAATTAAAAATCAGGGGAAATAGATGATTCTGAGGATATTTATAACAGTGGTATAACCTATGATAGTCAGCCAGACTTGAAAGGTTTTCTTAAAAAATGCTATGAGCCCATAGAAAAGTATGGACTTATTCACTACATTGGCAAGTTAGAAGTGGGACATTTGAAGTATATATATATATTTTTGCATAAGACACTGAGGAGGAAGAATAAGGGCTGAAGAATATCCATTGGGATTAAAATTTATGGAGATGAGATGCCAAAAAAAGAGGAAGCAAGTAGAGAGATGGATGTTTTGAAGATGAACCACAGTTCTTAGGAATCCAAGGGTGTCGCCTAAGTATTAAGTTTGATAAGGAGAGTGAAAGTGTAGAAAGGCCTAGAGGCCCTATTTACTGAAGTATTATTAAAACTGTTATTTTTCAGAACACCAAACATTACATAAAAGTGAATTCCCTATCACGGCCTGCTATCATATGCTCAGCAAGACACTATTTCGTTGGAAAATATAGAATTCCAGCAAAAATAAAAGAGATATATTTATTGTGGCATTTAAAAAAGATTTCCAAGTAACTATAATTTTGAGTTGAAAAAATGACTTAATAATGCTTAAACTATTGCTCAGATTTAAAGAGGAAATAATAAAGTAGAACATCACAAGGAAGAATACGCTATTTTCTACTCTTTTTAAAGTATGTTTCTTTACCTAAGGTTTGGCTGGAACTGTTTACGCAATCATAGGAACTCATGCTATGCTGAATTCAGTGCCAAGCACAATACCTTATATACACAGGAGTCACTTAATATGAATTTATTGAACAGAATTACATTATTAACTTTTCCTTTAGGATTAGATTTTGGTTGGGAATGGGCAGTCTGAATAATTCCTCTAACTATAAGCAAGTAAGATGCTAATCCTGGGCTAATATTTTAATATTCTGTTTTTACAGATGTTCCATTCAGTGCCACACCAGTGAATGCCTTTTATAATGGCTGTATGGAAGTGAACATTAATGGTGTACAGTTGGATCTGGATGAAGCCATTTCTAAACATAATGATATTAGAGCTCACTCGTGTCCATCAGTTTGGAAAAAGACAAAGAATACTTAAGGCATCTTTTCTCTGCTGATAATATCTTTTTCCAGTGTGTAATTATACTTATGTTTCAATAATAGCTGAAGGGTTCTACCTGTGATGTGCAGACCTTGATTATTTCGTGGTACTTTAACGTGGAATTTTAAAAAGGTCCTTTTTCAAGAAAACAAGATTCTCTTGTGATACAAATTGCATTAAAAAAATTCTTCTGTTCTGTCTAGAAATTAAATAATGAAACCTACAAAAATTTTTAATTTGAATTTTTTGCTACAAATGACATTTCTTCATTTTTATGTTTGTAAAATTTAATTTTATCATCATGAACTAGTGTTTAAATATCTTTTTTTTGTGTGTGTGTGGGAAGGCAAGGAAGTTAAACCTTTGTTGGAATCCAAACAAAAGTACACGTGACTAAATACCACTGTTACCAGTCCCTCTCAAGTCAGTCCCCAATAAAGGACCTTCTGCCTGGTGTATCTTGAACCAATAGAAGGAGACTGAGTTGGGTTCAGAAGCAAAGGAAAGCTTTGTTCTCTGATGAGAGAATGGAGAGGTGGGAGCTCCCGCTCTAGAGCACACGCAGCACAAGCTCTCCCGACAGGCCGTGGGCGGGGCTGCTTTACAAGGATCTCAGCAGGAGGGGGTGGGGTTCTCCCCGGGCCGGCACAGCTGTGCTGCTCACGCTCCAGATCGCAGTGCCTGGCGTAGCATCTCTGCACATGGCCCGCCGCCGCCATCTTGAACTGAGGGTCCTGCTCGGCGCTTCTGCACGTGGGCCCCTAAACTAAGGTGTTGGCACGGTTGTTTCTTAGGAGGAACTCTGGTCTGAAGGGCAGGTGTGAGGCCTCAGCATGCGGCCCCCTGTGAACAAGTGAAAATTGAGCACAAAGGAAAAGAAAAAGGTTAGACTTTATTTTATTACCGAGAAATTGTTAATGGGCTTTGCTGGTGACACTATTGATCAGAGCAGATACTTTTTTGTTTTCGTTTTTTCCTCATGAAGGCAGAAGAGACATTGGCCTATTAAGTATGAATCAAGTGGAAGCCCTTAAAGCTTTATTCCAAAACAGTCCCTCAGGGGAACCAGCTAAGACTTCATCTTTCTTTCACCTGGTACATTTGAACCAGTAGCTTTACTGAATTAGAAAATAAGTGGGACAAATTTTCATGAGAGCAACACATGAATCTTACTGTTTGGTAATTGGATTTTATGAGGATGAGATTCTAGATTGTGTTAGAATGTAGAAACCTGGGATGGGTACTTTCCTTAAATTTGGTTGTGTGGGTCACACAAGCTATAGATTAGAAAAGGCAGAACCTAAGGATGGAAAGAATGAATGAGAGAATGAGTAATGTGGACATTCATAGTTTTTCCTGAATCAAACTTCAGTTGCCAGAGTTAGTTCCTAGAATGTGATTGTTGAAGAACAAAAGGAACTATGAAAACTAGAACAGATTTTAATGAGAGGATAACCACAGAGGGACACAGTTAATTTTGTCTTTGTAATATCATATCTTTAAAGTAAGGAGGTAAGATTGCTAGGTACTTGCATTGGTAATGCATTTCAGGTGGCAGTTTTAGCCCTCTCAAACCTACCATTCACATGAGGTATGCAGCAGATGCTTCACTGACAGTTTTAGAAAATAAACCTTTTTCCACTATAGATGTTTTACATCATGTAAAACATAATTAATTGCTGATATTTTTAAAATTTATATGAATAATATCTCTTTTCTATCACGTCTTTGAACAGAACATAAAATTACAAAAATATACATGCAACTCTTCATGCAGCAAGTAGTTCTTTAGGAAAGACAGATAAAGTTCAAATATTTGATTAATAGTTATGGTTGAGTTGTAGACTGATGCTCAGAAAGAGAAGAAAAGCAAAAGTAACATGTATTGAGTGTTTGACATGTGCCAGAAATTGTGCTAGATAATCTTTTTTTTTTTTTTTTTTGCGGTACGCGGGCCTCTCACTGTTGTGGCCTCTCCCGCTGCGGAGCACAGGCTCCGGACGCGCAGGCTCAGCGGCCATGGCTCATGGGCCCAGCTGCTCCGCGGCCTGTGGGATCTTCCTAGACCGGGGCACGAACCCGTGTCCTCTGCATCGGCAGGCGGACTCTCAACCACTGCGTCACCAGGGAAGCCCTAGATAATCTTATTGGATGTAGCTTCTCTCCTGATAACCATCATGTACTATGGTTGATGAATTTCAGCAAGCAACTATTGATAATTACAGTGGTGTAAAAAAGCAAGGAAGTAGTAAAACTGAAAGTAAATGAAAATTTTAAAAAAAGGAAGAAAGGGAAAAATGAATTTTCTTTGGGGAGGAGTTCTCTGATTCTCATTTAATTATGCCCAGATACAAGGATAGCTATGGAGATCAATTTCACATTTCCCATGAAAAACAGAAACTTTCCAACATGCAGTGATCTTCATAGAGGCTCCAGAGACTCATTTATAAACTATATCTATCTTGAGATGCACTTACATATGACTTAGAAAGAGAAGGGGTCTAGACCTTTGATCTTGATCTTTGCCAAGATATACAGATTCCTACTTTTAAAGAGTAGTAGAGAACAGTGGTTTCATGAAGGCCAAACAGGATATTTGGTGCTATTTGAGCTTTGCGTCATGAAAAAAATCTAAGTGACAGGGTCATTGCAGACTTCCCCTAGACCTTACCATTTGCAGAGATGGGTTACATATTAGTGAAAATAATGGTTAATTTGTGAGAACAGAGTTATTCACCTCATTCTCCTGTTGGAAATTGTACTTGCAGTCTCAGTCACCATATGTGAGCCTTACAGAGTATTTCCAATTTTCTTTTCATTCTGGAACTGGTATTATTGCTGGAGAGAAGACTTTTTTTGTATGTCTGTTTAATAATTGCCTTTATTTCTTCTGGAAATCCCTTAGGCCTTTAATCTTTATGGTCAGTATAGAAGAAGACTGTGATATTTAAAATAATTTCACTTCAGATGTCTTGATATTGCTATTAATAACATGAGTTTGGGAGAAGACAGGGACTCTGGAACCTCTAGGGATAAGTGTGATAAATTTCTAATTCGTCCAGCAACAAATATTCATCGAGCACCTACTCTGTGCATGTGGAGTCAAAGGTAGTAAAATGTCTGATGAGCTAAGTTCAACTGAATAGGAAGTGATAATACTCAATTAGGCCCATGGTAGACCTCAAACTCCTGTTCCTTGGAGTTACAAAGCTGGTCCTTTTTAGGTCATCCTCAGAAATTGAAGCAATAAAACTTAATCATTGCTCCTATATAGGAGTAGTTTGTTTTTTACAAATGAGACTGAATTGACTAATCTTGCACATGAGTTACTTGCTATACCAGGCTTCAAGCTTTAGCAGAGAACTTTTATTTGAAAATTGGATCTTCTCCTATAGAAGAGGCATTTGTCAGAGGTTCATCCAGTGATGTGCTTGGGTCCAGTCCCAGCCCATGGCTATCTTGTGTTCATGTTTACAGAGTGTGAAGGTGAGGGGCAGTTACATGGGAGGCACCCTATGAGGCTTTCTGGTACCTATTAATATAAACAATGCAAGGCCAGATTACCAAAGCAGATTGAACCAAGATATGTGAAGCTAAGAGGGTCAGAAATAGAGGGGAACTGAGCTTAGAGAGGTTTGAAACAAGTAGCAGAGCACTGAGGCTGTGAGGTGTTTCCTGAGCCACAGTCAACCACTTCTGCAGTGCTCTGGACCTGCCATGGTTTAGCAATTGCCTTGTGGATAAGAATAGCATCCAGTGGACTTACAGACTCATTTTTTGCTAACCTACTTCCCACAAGAAGCCCTCTCCAAAAATAACCCTAATTCTAAGAGAGAAATAATATGATAAAATTTGCAGTTTACTAGTGAGACATTCTCTTTCTTGTTCAAGTTTCAAATGGTGGAATTTGAAATCTCATTCTGTAACTAGTCTCCAGATGGAGAAACCACTTGCTTAACTTTGATGTTTCTCTAAATTGGTTTGAAGAGAAGGAAGATTGGGACAATATCTAGCTGACGTAAGAAGGATCTAACATTATTATCTGGAGTTCACAAATAATAAATATAAAATAATAATAAATTATATAAATAATAAATATAAATGTAATAAGTATAAAAATGTAATTAAATAAAGCATATTGAACACTGGGACTGAGGCTGGAGCCTTCAGAGATGAGTATCTTCATGAGCCAACTTGGCATGTACAAGGTAGCCACAGAAATTAAGAGCTGGGTATAGAAAATAGCACAGTCTTAGACTTTTTTGTATATGTAGCAAGTTGTCAGGGTAAGATTCGAACCCAGGATGTCTGGCTCAAGAGTCCACGGCCAAATTCAAAACTTTATAGGGCACCTGTATTCTTACTAGTTATCCCATCATTTAGTAAATGTTATATTGTTGGTGTGAACAAATTCTGTCTCCAGCTCTACATATAACCTGGTGTCTCATTGAGTATTAGCTGACAATATTATCAACTTAATGGTTTTGAGACAAATGTGTATTATTTAATTCAATTAAGCAAATGCTGATAATGATTCTGAAAACTTACATGCAGTGGGCCCTCTGTATCTGTAGGTTCTGCATAGGCAGATTCAATCGGCCAAGGATGGAAAATATTCAGGAAAAAATAATTCCAGAAAGCTCCAAAAAGCAAAACTTGAATTTGCCACACTTTGGCAACTATTTACATAGTATTTACATTGTATTAGGTACTACAAGTACTCTAGAGGTTATTTAAAGTATACAGGAAGGTGTGCATAGGTTATATGCAAATGTGAAACCATTTTATATAAGAGACGTCAGCATCCTTGGATTTTGGTATCCTTGGGGAGCTTCTAGAGCCAGTCTTCCTTGGATACCAAGGAACTACTGTAATTAGAACTCTGGGCTAATACTGTCCTAGGAAAACAATGGAGAAAGTGCCCTACTCCTGTTGTCAATATATTCACAGTCTAGGGGATAGCAGACAAATGGAGAAGTAATTCAGATATGGACCCAAGTTTGGCAAGAGCTTCAACAAACAAGCATTTGCAGGGGGTTATGGGGAGGAAGAAATGAATTTCAAATGGAAATCTAGTAAGGTGCTATTTTGAATTAGGCCCAATAAGATAGATATGAATTTCCATTAGTTTCTCTGCTTCCAAGTCCTGTTCTCCACAATGTTTTCAGATGATCTGTCACACAGAGATCTTATTTCACTATAATCCTCAAAACCTCTTTTGTTTCCTTATCAGTCATTGCTTGAAGTACATATATTTAATCCTAGCTTTCAAGGGCTTTCATCTTTAAACCAGTGGATCTCAACCC